AAGATAGTCTGAAGTCTGAAGTTTGAAAATACCGCGAAATACCGTTAGAGTAATAGTAGTTGCATAAGTTGTGTTGTAAATAGTATAAGTTGTGTGTACAGAGTGAAACAAATAAATTCGTTAAGTATTTTATCGTCGAGTTTAAATAGTGGACCCACGGAATCCGTAACAATCCTGGTGTCGGAAGTGCGATTCAAGAGGATTTTAAGAAGAAATTAAGTGGATTGGAAGATTTTAGACCGAATTTAAGTATTTTTATGGTTGGTACAAGGGAGCAAGCGAAGAAAATGGAGGAAGTAAGCAAATTATTGGGCGATTTTATGGAGAATATGAGAAGAGAGAAAAGAAGAGGAACAAGACCGTCTACAGAAAATACTTATGGAAAATCAAGAAAAATGTGTTAGAAAGTTTAAGCGCGTCAAAAGAAAGAAAAACAAGAAGAACAGGACCAAAGCAAGACAAAATTTTCGAAGATTTGAAAATTCAACGACAACAAGACAAACAAGAAGAACAGGACCGGCTTGAGAAAATTCTCGAAGATTTCAAAGTTCAACGAGAGCACGACAAACAAGAAGAACAGGACCGGCTTCAGAAAATTCTTGAAAATCAAGAAATTAGACAAGAACGGTTGGAGAAAATTGTTGAAGATTTAGAAGTGCGTCGCCAGAAAGAAAAAATTAGAAGATCAAAACCGATTTAAGAAGAACTTTGAAGAACTGGAAAAAGGCAAGTCATCCGCCTTCAAGAAGCCGTAGAAGATCTTGAGGAACGCCTTCAGCAGAAAATGGAAAAATTAGAGATGGACCTACAGAAGACCAAGGTACAAGTAAAGACACCTGGCGTTCATGGAACTGCGAACCTCAAGGCCCCGACCTACGATGGACAAACCACCTGAACGATGTACCACCGCCAGTTTGAAGCAGCGGCTGCTGCCAATGGATGGACTGACCAAGAGAAAGCAGCAGCACTTGACATCGCGCTGCGTGGCCCTGCCCTAGAACTGTTGCAAACTATTCCTGCAGCCCAACAACAGCAATACCAAACTTTGATTGCTGCACTGGACAGAAGATATGGCGACCAACATCGACGTCAACTTTACCAGGCCCAGATCAAGACACGCATGCAGAGGTCCGGAGAGAGTCTGCAGGAATTTGAAGCAGACTTACGTCGCCTGGTACACCTGGCATATCCAGAAGCACCGGAAGGATTTAGGGAGGAACTCGCTGCTCAGTGCTTTATCAGCGGACTGAGGGACAACGAATTAGAGAGGGCGCTGCAAATATCCCGATTTTCTACCAGCAGCGAAGCACTGGTCAGGGCGCTGGAAATCGAAGCTGCTTTTAGCGCCATCCCTAGACCGAAGATAAGATCGGTAGCGGTCGAGGAACAGCCCGAAAACACTCACAGAGGTTTGGAGGAGATGTGTAAGAAAGTCGACAAACTATGTGAGCTACTAATAAACAAGGGAGTCAGCAACACCCAGACAGAAAACCAGAGAAGATTCCAGGACATAAGGTGCTTTAGAGGTGGCAGGAATGGCCACATTAAACGGTATTGCCGCGTTCAAATGCGATCCCGTTCACCATCCAGAGAACGTAGGCACCAGGAAAACTAAAATCAGTCAATACTAAGGGGCGAGTATTGACTGGGGAGAACAGAGCCCCAAGGATTTTTTCCATTAGAAATCTAGGAAGAACCGCTGACAGTTTGGTGATCGACGGGAAAGTCAATGGAAAGGGAATCCGAATGACAGTGGACACTGGCGCTATGGTTTCGTTGGTGCGGGCTAACTCAGTGCAAGGATTGAAGCTGGTGCCTCTGAGAAGAAGAGTGTGTTTACGTACAGTTACGGGGGAAATGGCCGTTGTACGGAGAGGCTATCGTCGAACTGAAGTTAGGAAATTTGAAGTTCCAGCATAGCGTTTTAGTGGCAGATATTGAAGATGACTTCATCTTGGGCATGGATGTGATTCGTCAACATGGATTTTCGTTCGATCACCAGAGAAATATCTTAAATATTGGAAATGAAGAGTTCATGTTATCTCCAGACGAGGGACCAGGAAGAATGGATGTAAGATCAGCGGAAACTGTGGTGATACCTGGTAATACCGAGAAGATCGTATTCGGTAAAGTGGAGAAAATCGCTGGGTGCTGTGTTGACTGGTACAAAGTAGCGACAACAAACAAAATAGAGTACTTAGTAGGAAAATCATTGGTGAACACCGAACAAGAATATACCGATCAGAACTGGAATGTTTTCCCGAATTGTGTCAAGATCCAAAAAGGTGACAAGATAGCCATCTGCGAACCTGTAAGAAGTGTCACCCGATGTGATGAAGTGTCATCAGCTGTTACACAAATGGCATCCAAAGAAACACTAAAACATCTAGAGCAGCCATGGGATCACCTAACATCTGATGAAAAACAGAAGGCTAAGCAGTTCCTGCTAAAGCATGGCAGTATTTTTGAGAAGAACAACAGTGGAAGAACGGATTTTGTGAAGTACCGGATTAATACTGGTCATGCTCAGCCGATTCGACAACGTCCTAGAAGGGTGCCCCTTTCCAAACAACAAGAAATGGAGACAATGGTAGATAAGATGTTAGAAGATGGAGTAATCGAAGAATCATCAAGTCCATGGTCATCTCCTGTTGTTTTGGTGACGAAGAAAGATGGTAGTACACGATTCTGCGTGGACTATAGGAAGCTCAATGACGTCACTAAGAAAGATAGCTACACACCGTGGCAGGATATTGCGGACAGAGGGCTTGTTTTCAAAGCTCTCTGGGCTCAGTGGAATTCACTGGTTATTGAGAATGGATTGTTGGCAGCACAGTAACAACTCAGTTACTGGTACCAAGGAAGAAAGTTACCCAGGTATTGGAAGAAATTCACGGTGGTAAAACTGGAGCCCATCTTGGGGTAAACAAGACCTTGAGCAAGCTGAGAGATCGCTTTTACTGGGTGGATTATTGCGAAGATGTCAAGAAATGGTGTCGACAATGTAAAATTTGTGCAGCCAGCCAAGGACCAAGCACTCGATCTAGGGGAAAAATGAAACAATATAACGTTGGACTGCCATTCGAAAGAATCGCTGTTGACATTGCAGGCCCATTCCCTGAAACGCACAAGGGCAACAAGTACGTTTTAGTGGCGATGGATTATTTCAGTAAATGGCCAGAAGTTTTTGCCATTCCAAACCAAGAAGCATCGACTGTAGCTGAAGTATTAGTCAATAATGTCTTCAGTAGATTTGGAATTCCCTTAGAGCTTCACACTGACCAAGGAAGGAACTTCGAGTCAAGACTGTTCCAGAAGATGTGTGATCTGCTTGGTATTCACAAGACTAGGACAACAGCTTTACATCCGCAGTCTGATGGGATGGTCGAAAGATTCAATAAGACCATTGAAGAACACCTCTCGAAAATGGTGGCCGAACATCAAAGAGATTGGGATCAACACATACCGCTGTTCCTAATGGCGTATAGAAGTGCAGTTCACAACACCACCGGACTTTCACCATCGAAGATTTTATTTGGTCGAGAATTACGGTTGCCTTGTGACTTGGTGTTCGGATCACCAGACGACGGCACCACAAATGTAGAGGACTACGCGGATGAACTGAAGGAAAGGTTAATGGAAATTCATAAGGCCGTAAGAAGTAAGATTACGCTAGCCAGTGACCGGATGAAAGCTCGTTACGACCTCAGAGCCAATTCTACGGGATTTCAACAGGACGATATGGTATGGTTATATAACCCACAGCGCAAGAAAGGGAGGTCCCCAAAGTTAACTCCAGCTGGGAAGGTCCTTATACAGTCATCAAGAGGATAAATGATGTTGTGTATCGGATTCAACGCAGCCCTAGAAGTAAGATGAAAGTAGTTCATCTGGATCGATTGAAGAGATACCAGACAGGAAACCTTGATCGGGACGATCAAATTTGAGAAGGGGGCAATGTCAAGGTGTATTACTGGTTGCATAACTGCATACTGCAAAAAAAAATCGTGCATTGAGGAACCTGGCGCATTCGCCAGAAAGTAAAGAAAATTATAGAATTCTTTAGAAAAATCTAGAAACAACCGCCAGGGGGTATATAAGGCCCGCGCTTTGACAGTTGGACAAGTCTGAAGATAGTCTGAAGTCTGAAGTTTGAAAATACCGCGAAATACCGTTAGAGTAATAGTAGTTGCATAAGTGTTGTAAATAGTATAAGTTGTGTGTACAGAGTGAAACAAATAAATTCGTTAAGTATTTTATCGTGAGTTTAAATAGTGGACCCACGGAATCCGTAACAATATTTTAGTTCATTTCAGCATACATAATTATATATATGCTAATATGTTGACGTAGTTCTTATTGTAATAATGTATATTTATCTAATTAACTGATTTCGTTCATTCTGCCCATTATAAAAGGTAAAGTATTTCCTTAAGATAAGGTCCGCTTAGGGTAAGCTGGCAACGCTGACAAAATTCATCATGGCATCCCGGATTCAACCAGTCTGATTGGTCGAGATTCTCACACGTCTTGTCGCCATTACCCCCAACTTTATGCCCCTCTCTAGGAATAGTAGAAACAGTCACTACTATTGAAAAATCCAGTGGCGGCGTTATTGTATTGTGTTTTATATCTTTAACTTGATTTGTGTTTATTGTAATTAGTACACGCGTTTTAACAAATATTACTATATTTGGCAAATGACTAAACAAAATGTAGGTACATTTAAAATAAAATAATATTATAAACTTTTACTGGAAAATACTATAAAAATTCCTGATATATTTTTATGAAACCCCGCACGCTCGTGGATATTTTATGAATGAAATCGGTCATGATTTTAGAAAATTGCGATCCCCTTGCCGTTGCCCCGTTGTTTCAGATCCGTTTGTCAGACTGTACCTATATACTCACGAGCCGCCACTGCCTTGCGATCTAATTAGAGAACACTTAAAAGTAAAATGTTCAAAATCAACCTTCATTTAACTATAATTACTTACTTCTACATGACCTGTTGGTCCTTGAAAGTTCGATAGGGCCACATATTTGCAGGAAATACAGGCTTCCATTGTGATTTTTTGTGGACCATGTGTTATGTTCGGTATAGAGACCAGAAATGTTATAAATTAAATTTGAATCAAGTAGCTAAAAGAGAATTAAATCTAGCTTAAAATACTAATAAATATATCAAACATTATAATCTTTAACTAATTTAAAACCGCATAATCTGTTAAAAAAACACTTACCACACATGGAACAGATTTCTTGATGCACCCAAATGATGACTCCAATTCAAAGTCATACTTTTGTCCCTGAGTTTGCTTCTCTGTATATTTTATATCAGTTGATAGTACTACGTCTTTTTCCCAATCGCATTTTAAAGTTAACTCAAATCGTTTATCAACTAAAATAGGACCAACATTTAAAAAAAAATAGGTATGGCTGGATTAGCCTCGGAGAAATAAGTAAATATAAAGACATCAAATCGTCGGTTTAAAGAGTATGTGCAACAAGAACAAGACTGGAAATATATCGACAGACGACATCCAAAAAATTAGAAGTTATCAGCTGTTATTATTACTTCCAGAGCTGCAAGCTCACAGAAAACTTAGGTCTTTTTTTATTTAAATAATTTTAATGGCTTAAGTCATTTTTCGAAAACTGACTTAAGACATAGATAAATGAAACAAGTTTAGATTGGAAAGTTGGAGAGCGTCCATAAGGACAATGTAAACACTATTTGGCGCTATTCTTGAAATGGTCGCGATCCAAAGTTTTTGATACTTTCGGCGTCGACCATGGCATAAGAAAACTTTTGGATGCTCTCGTCGAAGTTCATTCTCCCTACCCCTATATCTCTGTATATAATTCCCTCTTTAATTCCTTAGCTTTACTTATTTCTCTGACAGTTCTTTCTATTACTTTTAGAGCTGTTCATATCGTTCATTTTCTTAGTGTTGCTCTTAAAAACAAACTCATTATTGTCACCATCGTAGAATAACCTCAGTCCCGAAGCGGATGAAATAGGTATCTTTGCAAGGCCCTCCAATTCACAAGCGTTTATGTCTGTCAGGTTGCATACCGGATCCGTATCGCACAAAGTAATGCTGAAGTTCCTTTTTTTGGATTTAACTGTGTAAATTCCCGCCAGAGCGTTCAAGCTGACTAGTTTGCCATGGATGACAGTTGAACACAGGGACTTACACTTCGGATCAGTCATTTGAACATGGTACTCGCATCCGTCAGAACTGACACTCGTAAAGACAGGCTCGTCCTATGTAATTCAATATACAGGGTGAGGGGTGAGTCTTAAATAAGTGCAAATATTTTTAGGGGCGATATATTTCGACCCCAGAAACACGTCTATGAAGTTTTTTCGCGAAAAAAAAAATAAATATTTTGAATTTTTTCGAAAAAAAAATTGGAAATTGTTTTAATTTTTACTTAAAAACGTAATATCTTGATGATATGGCAACATAAGTTGTAGATTTAATTTAGAAGAACGAAAACTCTCTCAAAATTTAAGCAATTTTTTTTAATTTTCAAATTAAAATAATTCAGTTATTTTGAAGTTATTTCAAAAAAGTAAAAAGATTATGTGTTTCTTTTATAGAGATCTACCAGCCCTGAAAATATTTCTGTATTTCTGTAATTTTTGTAAATATTTAAGACTTACCCTGTATAATAATATCCAATAATTTGAGGAAATTGTAAATGTACACAGGGTGTCCTATTTTCGTGTGTTTTACACTGTTTCTCATTTAGGAGTAGATACAAAGATGCGGGTTTCATATCAGTGTGCTCCTTTTTAAGAAACTAAAGATACTGCACACAGATTTGGGCAGGGTGCCCCATTTAAAAAACAACAACATAAGTTTGAAGCATATTTCGAAAATGACAGCACCCAGCGAAAAACTAGTTACGCCACTGAATTCTACGTGAAAAACTCTACGGGTCCCAGTTTTCAAATTTTTTGATAAATTATAAAATAACCAGGATAAAAAGGGGGTCGAGAAATGCGAGATTTTAAAAATCTTCCTGTATTTCAGGAACTAAGAAGACTAGGAAAAATCTGTTGTAGCATCATTAGTTTCATAAAAAAGGAGCACAGTGATGTAAAAATACATTTTTGTATTTCTACTCATAAACGAGAGACCCTGTAAAACACACGAAAATGGGACACTAATTGTCTATGGACAAATTCAAGCTTACCTTTGTTATGTTGCAAGTAAAATGAACCACCAACGAATAGTTCTTAGATTTTTTACAAAAATCTCCATTCTTCGAGTATACCGTCCCATTTTCTAATACAAAACAACTAGGTTTTTATAATTGAATTACATAATATGTGAATTATTTACCCATCACAAACATATTGCCTAATTTTTGAACAGTAATTTCATTTGACTGATGTACACAAGCTATGGATCCTTTAGGACAACCATTATTATCACCACAAAACTTAAAACTTATTTTAAAATCTTTTTCTTCTACTAACCAGTCATTACTAAAAATTATTAATTAATAATAATATAATTAGCTATCCAATTCATTCAATCATTGCAGCTATCAAAGAAACTCTCTATTGAAAAATTTGCAAGAAAACAATTTAAATAGTGAACAACTAATTTATTTTGATTTTATTTATTACCTGTAACTAATAAAAAGACCAATTAAGAAATTACCAGCAAAAAATATACAGATATGTACTCACCTGAAGAGTTGTACACTTTCATTTTTTGTTGTATTTCCAACAGGTGTATAAATACAATAATCCAGTGCATCTTTAAAAAGAGTTGGTTTGGACAATATCGAATTTATTATTACAAATAATAAAATGAAATAACGAAAGAAATGCATAGAATCCTCTGTCAACTCCCCCGCAAATAAATATAAAGTCCGAAAGATATATCGGATCTGTATAGGATCTTTGCGTTGGTTGAAAAATGAAAATGAACTAAATAAAAACTGAAGAATCTTTGGGAATTTATATAACTCAAATGATTATTATCGCTTTATTTTCTTATGGCTGATGAGGTATTTATGTTCCTTTCCGTCCTTTATCAAGATTTTTTTTCAAAGTTATATCCCTAAATAGTCGGAAAAACCTTGGAGCACCTGTGCACAACACTTGCGAATAATAATGTCACACCTCGCACCGGTTAATAATATACACGAGTCATAAAAATAGAAACTGAAATCTGAAATCATTGAGATAAAAATGAGATAAGCTCGCTTGGCACATGAAAACACCGAAAACACGAGAAAACCAATACATAACCTATCAAGTATAAGCCAAACAGAGAAATAGAAGGGATCAAGATTCAAACCAAACCAAACCACTTCCATATCTCTGAAGCCAAAACAAGACGGCGATTGTCATATTGTCATATGCGATTGTCAAAAGATGCCCAGTGCCCAACCCAGTGCCAAGCCCAGTGCAAGCCCATAGCAAGCCCAGTGCCCAGACCATAGAGTAAAAGCCCATACACCACAGATACACATACTATAGTAGGAATGTGCGGATCATAAATAATAATAATAAAATGCATATTTGCTGTTTTTCCAATAATAAACAAATAGACCAAATAGTAGACAGTTAAAGCACGGCCAAAGACGTAGACGTAAACGTATCGTTTGACATGTACGCTTGCGCAGTGAGAAATTCACTTGCGTTTACGGATACGTGATACGTATCTTTACGTGCCTTTACGTACGTACAAAACGCAAACGTATCGAGCCGAAGGAGTTTCGATTTTCACCCGAATGATGCGGAACGTACAAATTCACAAACAACTCGTTTCCACAACTGGCTGGTAATTAAGTTATTTCATAAATTTTGGGGCCAGTGTCACAGAACTGGGCCTATTTTATTACAATAAATTAGTATGAAAATATTAAGCGTCATAATAAAGTCATTTTGGAATCTATTTAATTAAATGCTAGTTCTTATAGCCAAAATCCATATGAGGATTCTAAAAGATGGAATCTAATAAATAATCATAGAACTGTGTCTGTTTTCCAATATTTTTTATTACTAAGAGCATTTGAAGTTGTAAGGACTACTTTCTGTAATAAAATAATTAAATAATTTCCATTTATAATTTTCTTCATTTTTCGATATTACTTTTATAAATTTAATGTGGAATCAATGGAATAATAGATATCCATTTTCAATTTTAAAATTAAATAAATTGTTTCACAAAATAATTTAGAATTACAAATGTACCATTTGCGTTACGTACGTCAAAATACTTGCTTTAACTCTTGTTTACACGACAACGCAACGGCAGACGTAACGTAAGTTTGTGCGTTACGTGTCGAGAGATACGTATACGTATTGTGCCTTGCTTTAACTGTCTAGTATGGAAAAAAAACCGACGATGTCACAAAACCGACTTACGGAGAAAACGATGATTTAATATTTCAAAATACCACGTTAAAGATACAAAAATTTACTACTGGATGCGTTATATGTATACTTAGATTAACAATTATGTATATACATGACATCGTTTGTTATAATATGCAATTATATAGTAATGTAATAGTATTCTCTACGTATTCTCAACAAATTAAGTTGATTACTTAAAAATTCCATTCACAACCATTTTATGGACATCGTCGATTTTTTCTCCTTACCCTTGAAATATGTTTACGAACTGTTTCAAAACTGTTTTTAACATTTTATGTGTAATAATCACAAATCACAGGTAATTATATACTACTAGCCAGTGGCGTATCTAGAGATAAGGGTACAAGGGGAGAACCACAACTGCACCACAACTGTCCTAATAGTCAAAATAGTGCTATGGTAGTGGCTAAGGGTAGTGGCTATGGCATGGCTGCATATACCTACCTATGTGCTATGCTGTGTTAACGTTAACAATGTGCACGTTCAGGGAACATAGCGGCTGACCGACCGCTGACCGCTGAGTATTTTGCTCAGCGGCTGATTTTAGGGAAACCGCTTACTCAGCCGCTGACCGTCCCTGAACGTGCCCAATATATGACAATCAGACAATCTCTGAATGGCATCAGATGGCATGCAAGATTATTTATAGAAAAGAATACTGTTAATGTATTTGTTATTATTTATTTCGTAGTTATTTTTAAATTTGTAAACAAAATTATTAGTGTAAAAATTAAAGTAAAAAAAATATTGGTTTATTAAGTACACAATCGGTATAAATGAAAATTATAAAAATAAATGATCGAAGTAATATAAAAAAGTCAAAAATCATGTCAAAAATTAAATAAAAACTAGCGCTCTCTCCCGTTAGATATACATATATGTAGAATTACAAAAAAGGCATTTAGAAATTTTACAAATCACTAGACAACGATTACTAACCGTAAATGACTGATTACCAATCAGATTCCGTCTGCTGAATACAGCCAATATTTAAATAAAGTACTAGATTTACAAAAATTTTCACCGAGAGTTACTGTGACTGTGGAAATAATAAACTTTCATTTGATCTGAATTTTCTATTTTGATTGGTATTATTAATTTATTTTGTGACAATTTTATCTTAATAAATTTCTTTCTGGGATGGGAAATATATAGGTATCTGGAATCTGGAAATACCCCCATTATCACTCCTGTATATGTGCCACTGGTACTAGACTAATAAATAAATTTAGTTATTAACTAAAATTAATATGACGCCATATTTTTCTTAATCTAAGATATTTTTAGGATTAATAATGACCGTCAAGAAACTTTTACTTTCTGATTTGCTTTCTGACCTCCCCCCCTTGCCTCCACCCCCCCACCTATTAGATAAAGATAAAAATGGCGGCTGCCATTAGAATTTCTCGCGCATTCGTACTCCTCCCTACCTCTATATCTCTGGCTTCAATTTTCAATTTCAATACAGATCAAAATTTTCGACAGAACCTGACAGCTGACATTTGAAACGAGTTCAAATTCAAATCGATCAATACACGAAATATAAAAAATAATGCAAATATTAATAATAGCAACAATGTAATTCGATATCTCTGCTTTTTTACATAAATTTCATACCTTTAAAACTCATTATGAAGATAACCGCTGGTCGTTACACCTTTATCCTAACACTACAAACATTATTGCTCGTAGTAGATTGGAATATCAATATTTTCGCGTTATTGAGTAGACAAAGCAATGCTTTAATGTTAATATTATTTATGTAAGTTTGTATAAAATAATTTATTTATATTATACAAAAATATTTTATGGTGTATTTTCAGAGTTCAAGATGCATGTTTAATAACTTCACTCACCCTCCTGTTAATTACATTCTTTTCTACATACGTTTTTCAGGTAAATGAACGATTGATTTTTATATTTTCAAATATAATACATGATTATTTCTGTTCTAGACTGGCCTGGTTTATATTCTATATGAAAGATTTAGAACGACGCTGATAATATGCATGTTCTATTTTATTTTAACAACCATACTCCATATATGGTCGCTTATTTCGAGATGGAACAATTTCCGCCATAGTTGGAGCACAGGATTTTCAGTTTTCTTCATCCTTCAAAGGCTCAGTAAGAATTCTGAACAGAGTTTGAACGAAAATACTAAAATTGTTCATTTAATTTTTAGCAGGAACCATCTATTATTATTACTACAAAAGATCTTCGTTACGTATCAGCGACCCAAGATTCTACGAAGATACAGACATGGAATCAAGCAGGTTAAATGCTCAAGTGGTCCAAAATTAAAACAACCATCTACCGAAATAAATATGTACTTTTAAACAATTACAAATATTAAAAGTTTAACAAAAAAGAAGTATACACAAAGTTTTTATTTGATTTAAACAAATAATATAATATTCTAAATTAATAAATATGTAAAGTGGGTGTGGAGAGCGATTTCTTTATTTGCTTACTCTTATTAACTCTGATTCAGCTGATTCATCAATTTTTTTAAGTTTTTGATATACATATATTATGGTACAAACGATACAATAATACAGGATAGAAATCGCTAGAAACCTTCGTCGTCGGGTAGAACGGCGAACTTGTTGCTCGCCTGGAAATTTGGGGGCTCGGGCTCTTGCATTTTGGGCATCTCTTTCTCCGGTCGGTCCCTGTAAATGAAACAGTTATTAGAACTTGGTTAAAATATAGGGTCGGTGATTGATAAACCTTTTTTCATCACGTTTTGGTCTGTCCACCTTTTCGACCTTCTGTTTGTCGTCTGGAGATCTGTGTTCGCTTCTGGAGTTCGCTCCACTGCGATTGTCATCGCCTGTAATCAGAAATCATCTATTTAAAGCGATTTATGACATCGATTAGTTGATCGTTTGTCTTTTGTGTATAATTGTTATGAAATAAATTATATTCTATAGTCCAGAAATATTATTAATATGGATAAAACATTATTATTCAGGGTGTCCCAATATTCCGTGGACATAGAACCAAAGAATATTATAGATAGAACTAAGTACTACATATTTTTGGAATTAAAATAAGTTCATTGGACACAATTTACATAAGTGCTTCGTTTGTCCGCTAGAGGATATCAAACTTGTATTTAACATTATTTGACTTATACAAAAATGCAGAAAAAGGACAGGAAGGGTGAAAACTACCCCCACCCCTGCATAAATTTTAGTATAAATATTTATATATATATATATATATATCGCAACCAAACCAAACCAACTCCACCGACAAAGATTTTCCTTTCGTAAAATGATCCCTCTAGTATTTACTACATTTTTTTGTCTGGGCACATTGCATAATTTTTAAGATTTTTTTTTGGAGAATTTATTTTTCCAAAGCAGATCTACAAAATATACAGGGGGTTCCAATATTCCGTGGACGTAGAACAAGTATGTATATTTTGAATCAAAATAAGTTAATTGCACATCATTTACCTATACAAAAGAGGGCATCAATCAAAAATAAATTCGAATGTTAATTAATTTAAAATGTATTAATTTTTTAAAGCATTTTAGAAAGCTTATTGTCAAATATATTTTGTGATACTAACATAAAATTCCATATTTTCGCCAACTATACAGGGTGTCCCAGAAATAAGTGCAAGTATTTTAATGGGTGGTCGATCTCGATAAAAGAAACAAATTGTCTCTTTATCGTTTTTCAAATAGGTCCAAAATAACCGAGATATTTTACTTTGAAAATTTCCAAAACTAAATAAAATTACATTTTTCAAAAAATTCCGAATTTTCAAATTTTTTTTTTGTGAAAAAAACCTCATAGGCGTGTTTCTGGGGTTGAATTATACTACCAGTTAAAATACTTGCATTTATTTCTGGGACACCCGTATTATTAGAGCATAATAGATTTTATCTATCCAAAAAATCCTTTATGGGTATTTCGCCACTGCACTGCAAGAAAAATCTACAAAATAAAATAGTTATTTTTTGTAAAAACTTCTGGCGTTAAACCTAAACGGACGCTGCTTGTCAGAAGTTGTGTTTACAGTAATAAAAATTTGTCTAACAAAGAAAAAAATGCTTAACGTTAAAATGACATTATATTGACATTATTTTTATATTTTAACAGAACGTCAACGATTTCTTGTAGATGTATCTGTTTTAAAAAGTAAAGTGTTCTCGAATAGTTCAATTTAAATATTTTAAATAGTTTTTTTTCTTGATTCTTTATATTTTTCTTACTTCCGACGACGGAAAGAGAAAACTTTCCGAAACGTTAAGCATTTTTTTCTTTGTTAGGCAAATTTTTATTACTGTAAACACAACTTCTGACAAACAGCGTCGGTTTATGTTTAACGCCAGAAGTGTTTACAAAAAATAACTATTTTATTTTGTAGATTTTTCTTGCAGTGCAGTGGCGAAATACCCTTAAAGGATTTTTTGGATAGATGAATCCGCCACTTAGGTATAGACATTTTTTACAATTAATAGATTTTATGCGCCTCCATAGATTGATGTGACAAAAAACATTTTTTTGGAAGTCAGTTTTTGAGGAAAAATATTTTTTTTCCTCAAAAAATATGAGCGGTGACGTTTTTTTACAGGAGACAAAAAATGTAATAAATACTAGGAGCATTTTACGACAAAAAAATCGGTCGTCGATTGAGTTGGAAAATATTTACACTAAAATTATCTAGGGATGGGGGTAATCTTCACACTTCTCGTACTTTTTCTTGATTTTTGTGAAAGTCAGATGTTAAAGCACTTATCAAAACGTAAACCTCAAAAATTTCATTCAAATCAGAATAACGGTTCTTAAAATATCTGAAAAAATGTGTTTATTTTTTTTTAAAGTTTGGTGCCCCCTAACGGACTAACGAAGCACTTTTGTATAAAGGTAAATTGTGTCCAATGAATTCATTTTGATTCCCAAAATACACAGTAGTTCTATGTCCACGGAATATTGGAACACCCTGTATATTAATTATTCATTTTCCATATTTACGGGGATATTAATGCCCGGGCTACAGCAAACTGTGCAAACCCGGCGGCATGTGACGGTGGCCAAATTCGGCCACCGTTTGTGCCAAAATGTTAGGTTGATGAAATCATTAAAAAGTTGCGGCAACCAAAAGCCGGCAGCACAACTCGCGCGACTCGAAATACTCGAGGCCAAATGTCGGTAGAGATCAAATGAATATCGAGCAACCGGTGACCAGTCCTCATTTTTAGTCCAGTTGTATATGGTGAAATTTCTATAGAGTCAAGAAAGAACCCGAAATAGAATAGAACCAGAGTGGAATGAAAGATTCTCGTACATGACAAGGAACACTGACGACAGAAAACTGCTCGTGAACAAAAGGAATTATATCCGCCGAGACGAGTCGCGCAAGTTTGTCGCCGGATAGTCGGCGAGTGCCGCCGGGTTTGCATAGTTTGGTGTGGTGGTTCCAGCATTATGGTATAGGATCGGATCCAGAGAGTTTATAGGATCCAAATCCATTCATTTGGGAACCCCAGAAATTTGCGTACTTTTTTAGCACACCCTGTAGAATATAGATAGAAAAATATTACTATATTACTTACCGCTTTTTTCCTCTGGCGTAACGTCGCGTTCTTTAACTGCTTCTTTGTCTACATCATTTCTTCGGATCAAAGGCCGGCTACGATCGAACTGAAAAATTTTTTAATATTAAATTAAAATGTTCCCCCAAGTTGCAAATAAACAATACATTTTTTAAGTTTTATCAGATAAAACATTCACCAAAGTATTTTCTGCAGAGGTGTCAGAATAGTGTAGTTTTTTTAGCTTCATCACAAATACGATTTTAGACTTAAGTTTTTTTTAATTACATAGTTCTGTTATAATTTACTCAAAAAATGAAAACCCAACGAATAACCCAATGTGTTCTGTATTTTATCTTTGGAACTTTTAATAAATTATTATTTATAATGCAAGAATGCAAAATTATATTCTTTGTATCTAGCATGATTTTGTATGAACTTTAAACGTGTACAGGGTGGGCCAAATTGGACGCTTTTAAAGGGAAACACTCTTTACTATAGATAGACGAAAACTAAAACCGGTGTCTGGAGCTCAATTTTTATCAAAAACATTATGGTTAAAACCGCACATCGATATCTCTTACAGTTTCGGAGTTACCTTTCGGAGTTACTTTTTTGCTATGGAAAATTGTGTATTTTTATGAAAACATTTCAAAAGCACTTTTTACTTAGAATTTAACTGTTTAGGTATAATTTTTTTAAAATTAATAATTTAAGAATTATCAACAGAAAATTTGGTATTTATTTGGAACACCCTGTATATTTTTAATAAACTAAAAAAGACTTAAAATTACATTTCCAAAAATATAGCACACTTGATATTTTATTATAGTCTCCTTCGAATTACAGAATTTTTAAAAGTTGGTTAGGTATCCCCTAATGGAACTAGAAAACACATATTTTCCCAGCAAGACGAGGTACCGCCTCAGAACGCTGAAATTATCAGCAAATTTTTGCAGCCAATTTAGAGAATAATTGAACAGCTAACCAAGATCCCACATGGTGACGGTACTTTATAGTGAGAATCGCGCCTTACAACCCAAGGATGTATGTGAGATTTATGTAGGAAACGCATTGAAATTCTATATCCGTTCTTCAATATTGTTCTTCAATATTGGGACTTGAAAATAAACAGTACCCGCGGTATCAGGGGCGCCGACTGCGTGGGTGCTCAAGCACCCACGAGACAAAATTAGTGGGTGCGGAGCACCCACGGGCATATAAGCATCAAAACTAACCAGTTTAGCAACTTTAAGACACTCGCATCTCATCCAGCCCAATTCCCAATTCCAGACGTCAATTTCAGTAGTTCTAAGGAAGTTTCCTCGTTCATTCTTAGGTAGTTAAATCAATCCTGTGTTTCAACTGTTAAATTAGCACGCAAATTAACATTGAAATACTTATTTCCTTTAAGTAACCGTTGTTTTTCTGCTTTTTTATTTACTGCATAAGCGAATAAAATCCGAGACAGATGTGTATTTCGGGAGGCCATTTTTACTGAGAAAAATGTGCCGAAGTGATTCCGTAACTCAGTTCATTATAGATAAAACTGTACTATAAAATTGCGTGTGTGCGCGACAGGTTGTAATACAGGTTAAACTGCGCAGACTGGCCTGCACAGTCTGCCTGTGTTTAATAATAAAAATAAAAATAAATAACTGTGCCTTTGTGGGGCTCTAAAAATGTTCCTAAATTAGTACAAATATTTTAGGGGTGGTATATTTCGACCCCGGAAACACGTCTATAAGGTTTCTTTCACGATTCTTTTTTAAATTTGGTATTTTTCGAAAAAAAATGGATTTTTTTAATTTTTAATTAAAAAATATAATATCTTAATATTATGGCAACATCATCGGTAGTAGATTATGTTTACAAAAAAGAAAACCCAGAAAAAAAAACAGTGGTTCTCAAAATATGGGCATAAAATACATATTTTTTTTATTTTTAGTAAGTAAAATAACTAGGCTTATTTTGGGGTTATTTGAAAAACGATAAAGAGAAAATAAGTGTTTCTTTTAGCCCTGAAAATATTTGTACTTATTTAAGACTCTCCAAGAGATGTATATTAATTATATTTATTCTAAATTGGAAGCGAATTGTAAGCTACATTAGGAATGTGTGTTCATATCCACGATAGCTCACTATCAATCTATTTAGCTGGCCATATATGAACTGTGCTATGTGATGCGAAAGCTTGTTGTGTATGATCTTTGAGCATTTGTAGACTTGACGGATAAATTTGTTTATATAAAAACCCTAAGCTGTCCCCCTCCCAATCTCGGATATCCCTCCACTAGCAGCTCTTCTGAGCAACTTTTAGTTTCGTTTATTTTGTATCTCTTTAAAAAATACAGTTACAGTATCTGTCTGTTGTTTTAATGCCTGCCCTTACACGATTGTAATGGGTAGAATTAATATTTTCACAAACTGGGTATCTGTACTAAAAAAAGTATTTCTGCATAACTCAAATTATACTCAATAAAATTGTAAAAATTACAAATTGATATGATATTTTTCTAATATTGTTATGTATGTTACATATGTAAAAAAGGTGTAATAAATACGACAAATGTAACAATCTGGAAATTTGGTACATTTACTGATATTTGATGAGCACCCATGAGGTTTCATAAAAGTCGGCCCCCCTGCGCGGTATACTCTGTTTTTTTTCTCAGGTAAGATTTCGACAGACAATGACAGAAGAAAAGCAGATGACGTCCCATACCAATCTATTTATTTTACTAAAAAAAGTTTCTAATAATTTTTAAGTTAACTATGGATGGGTTTAAATATAAATCCGTCATGCGTCGTCTCTTGTTGTTTTTAACCAGTTTTATTGGTTTATTTAAAAAATGACAGATCTTATTTCAATTTTATTGGTTTGGCGGAACGATGAACGACAAACGGGCGCCGATGCGTATGAATTAGACTTTAGATTTTTGACGCTTGTCAAAGTCTTGCCAAATTATAGGTAATAATTTTGTGTCAACTTTTGTCAAATACCCTGCGTTTTGGAAGGTGATGCATTTTGATTTGTGTTATTACGTGTGTTTTGTGTCTTTTGAAGTCAAGTGTAGAAAAAATCCAGTGAAAATTAACTGTAGACCCAGAGCACAGTTTATGGTTAATATTCGCTGCCCAGGCAGAAAGTTTTATACATCAATAAAGTTACCATCAATAAAGTTAAAGTTCGTATACCATCTCGTCGTAGATAAGTGCATCTCGAATATGCTAAAAGGACCATACTAAACACATACTAAAAACTGGAGTAGCTGTAAAATATCGACATCACACAATAGGTAAATAATCGATTTTAGTACTGCAGAAAAATAATGTCAAAAGGTACTGGTTTAAAAAAATTAAGATTAAAGTTAATTATCAACCTTTAAGGTACAAAATTTGGTAAGTATTATTATTAATAAAATAGTTTGTTTTATTTATGTTGTTTTATTTATTCCTGTGGAATATTACAAATTTGTATTTGTACATAAGTTATATTGATAAATATAATCATAAATGTGGGAAGTTTCTTAAAGCTTGAAAGTAAGAAATAGTTCTTTTTTATATTTTTTTGGTATGTGGTGACTTGTTCTTGTTTGTTTTGTATTAACACATACCGTTTTTTATTAAATAAAATAACTTCATTACATTTTTTCAGTTTTATACAGTTTTTTTTTCACAATATTTTGAATTAATCACTTGTCAGTCAAATTTTAAATATATTAATTTCCTGCTATGCGTTCCAGTTGTACCAACTTATTTCTTTGTAAAATAAAATAAACTACTTTGAAATTAAAATGACACACACATCTATCGCTGTCAAGGATCTTCTCGTTGGACAGACTATATAGTCTTTTTGCATTTGCTAAAACTATGGAGGGTAGAGGTAAAGAGAGAAGAAGGGGACTTTGTTTGAAAAAGTGGCCACCAAAAAGGGAAAAATAAGAGTTCACAAAATGACCACAGTAGCGCTAATAAGCAATAAGGGACCGAACTGAACTTAGCTGTTATAAACAAAGTGAAGTTAGTTACAAAAGAGCGACAAGACGCGCCTTCAGAAATCGAATATTTATCAATCTCTTTTTAATTATTTCCTGTTCTAAAAATGTTGACGCTTTTTTCAAATGAAACTTTAGCTACAGCAGCACCATCTTAAGTCTATTATGCTGTACTGTTCGGGTGGCTACTACTCAGAGGTCGGGTAAAGAGGGTGTGTGGCCGAAGGAAATATGTATTATATTTCAGAAATCCGTCCAAGGCTTAGCCCGATCCTGTCATGTTAAGTCACACACAAAATTCCAAACACACGTGCTTTGATTAAGGCTTGATTAACGTTTGCAGAGCTTCAGCATTTGCAATAAAATAACGAGCAATTTGCTACAAAACTATATAAATTATATGTCACTGTAATCACAAAACTTCGAAACAAAAACGAAATTTTAAATTATGTCTATATTTTCGAGAAAACTTAGACCAAACATAAGAAATATTTTGTTGATGTTTGACCATTAAAATCTTAAAAATAAAGAAGTTGTCTAAAAATGTGCTACAATACGGATACAGTATAATCCTTTATCTTTAATTTCCTTCTTCGTTTGTGTAAAAATACCTAGCCAGTTTTACAAAAAACGTTAAATGCCGAACGCATATTTTGCTTTGACTAGTGAAATGGACTCTTAATTGTTCCCTCTTTGGATGTCCACTTTTGGCACTTTTCAAAACACGTAGATAATTTTCTTTACCTCCACCATCCATAGCTAAAACGCATATTTGACATATTATGATGAAGACGTGACATTGAACGATCGCTGAAGAGCCTCCCAAAATACCCCCCCCCCCAAAAATCTACCCCAACTCACCGGCCTCCTCTCCCCGCTCTCCTCCGAGCCTTTATCTCTCAGCCGTTCCTCCTGCACGCGCAACAGCTTTTCCTCGATCTGCCTGTCCCTTTCCGACGTGTCCACAGGTTTGGCGCTGCCGAATATGGAGGCTGATCCGGCCGCCTGCTGCTCCAGCGGCTTGGTGCGGGGGGCCAGCTGCAGCTTCGGCCGCACCGCCGTCGACGCGGATCTGCCAGAGTCGGAGGCTGGAATGGGAAGAACAATTGAGGTTAAGGTTTTTTTTTAATCTTTGAAATGCGTACTTTTATGCATTTCAATGATAAAAAGATAACTAGTAGAGAGAAAAAAAACTAGAAGAAAATATCGTTCAGGATGAATAAAAAAATGCTGATAAAGTTTGAAGTCCTTATTAATATTCAGATGCGTTTCATCGTGATTTCCCATTTAAATAACACGGGAAAACAATTTTTTGGGATTTAATTGCGTTCTAACTATGGAGTGTAGAGGTAAGGAGAAATATCTTCGTGCATTAAAAATGGTCATAAAAAGGGAAGACTTAAGATGGCGCTGGCTGCTGTAGCAAAAACCTAAAATTAAAAATATGCGCCGAAAATTTTTAGAACAGAAAATGATTCAAAAGAGATAAATATTTGACATGAAGGCGGGTTTCAAAAAAATACAAATTTTATTTTCATGTCACATGAAGTAAATTATCGATTTTTATTGAGCAGCAATAGACTGGGCCTCTAATAATAATCGTTTTATATTCTAAAAAATAAAAACAAAGCTTTTATGGGTAATGTTTGGTTATGTTATTTTTATTCTCTTATCTATGGCTACTTCTAATTTTTTAGCATTTATGCGTCATTAGCGCCACTGTGGTTATTTGGTGAACCCTTATTCTTCCCATTTTTGTGATCACTTTTTCAAATAAATTCCCATAAGAGATATTTCTCCTCATCTCTACACTCCATAGTTGTAACAAATTGAACGGTCTTTAAAAAAGGTCTAATATGAATTTTCATTCAGACAACGAGAGACCGTAAAAGAATAGAGTGGATACAACAAAAGACCCAGGTAATAGATGTAATCCACAGATTAAAATCCTTCAAGTGGCAATGAGCGTTGCCGGACATATGCCGATTTTTCGAGAGCGTTGCCTGACTTATACCGATCCCGGTATTATAGAACACTTACCATCACTCTGTTCCTGGTTCCTGTCCTCCCCCCTGTCCCCTCTATCGCCCCTATTCCTATTATAACCGTTCCGGTCGTCCCGGTCTCTGTCGTCGAACCGCCTGAAGCCGCTCCCCCGTTTCTCCTCTCTGTCTTCTCTAAAGTTCGACCTGGAAAAACCGCGGTTGTCTCCGTCCCTCCTCTCCTCTCTGTCCTCCCGGAAGTTGGGCCTCGAGAAGCCCCGGCTGTCGCCGTCCCTGTCCGCTCTGGCGTCACGCCACGAGCCACCGCTGCCGCCGCCGAACCGTTCCTCCTGTTGCGGTTGGTCTCTGTTTCTAGTGATGACGCTGTCTCTTTCCCTTGAGAATCCGCCTTCGCGTTCTTTAAAACCACCATAATCCCTACGAAAATTTTTTAAGGTGAAGTTTTTTTTACTTGAAATCACTTATAAAAAAACATCCAGTATATAGAAGCCTCCCCTAACACGAAATCATAAAAATTTCTCTGCAGAAATGCATCATTCTGTTTTTTCCGACTTTAGAATAACTGAAATCAGTTACATGAAAACGCGTTCCTGCTTTACATTCTAAACACTTTTTTGTGTAGGTATGAACTTAACCTAGTAAATACTGTAATTTAGACAACAATACTGTACCATATACATATAACTAAAATATACGCAGCCTAATCTCCAAAAAGTGAAGCCCAAACAGTGAAAGAGAAATATGGATTTCTGCATAAGTCTATTTCACCCTAATATTCATTTAACTGCGCATGCCTTACCTGAAGAAGTTTTCGTTGGGCAGTGTTTTTAAAGGGAAGTGGTTGACTGACATTTCACCTAACTTTCAATTTTATTTATATTTTTATTATTTATAACACATTATCATGGAGTTGGAAAAATATCAAAAAATAGTTGGAAACAATAAACTAAACAAAATCACTCTTTTACGCGCACAAATAAAAAGTAATGCAAATAGAACTATAACCACAATCAATCGGAGTTTGGCGCAATCGCAGTTCAATCGATATCCGGGTGAAATAGACTTATGCAGCATTAATATGGAGCTGAGTTATGTTGTCTTTTTCTTACGGCACGAAAACAGCACACGGGGTTAAATAGGGAACACTGAGTATATTTTAGTTATATTTATATGTACTGTACCGAGAAAAAACGAAAATAAACAAAACTAAGCCAACCAAGCCAGACCACAACAATCCTAACCAAAGAAATCAAAACACGCTGTAAGCTAAAACGCGTCTGTTTACGTTGTCTAATTGCCGAGTTCTTTTCAAATTGTGCTATATTTTAGAATATTTTATCAATAAATGAAAATGGTACACTTCCGCAAAAAGCTTTTTTGAGTGCCTATGTTTCGAAAAATTTCTAGAATGAAAAACAGAAACGTGTTTTCATGTAACCGGTTTCAGCTATTTTAAAGTTGAAAAACTGAAAATTATGCATTTTGACAGAAAATTTTTTGTAACATATGCAAGAAATTTCTTGAAGTTTCAAAGTAAGAAATAGTTCTTTTTTTTATAGATTTTTTGTTTATTTGTTTGTTCCATATTAACACAAACCCTAAAATATTTTTTTTTGAAACAATATAACTTGATTAGATTTTTTCAGTTTTTTCTTCATAATAAGTTGATGTAAACATTTGTCACTAAAATTTAAAATATATGAATTTCTCGTCTAGCATTCCAATCGTACCAACTTATTCTTTGTAAAATATAATAAACTACTTAAATGACAGACATATCTGTCACTGTCAAGGATTTTGTCCTCGGACAGACTATAGTTAGGCGACGAATGGTAAAAATACAGTGTTTTTTTTTAATTGGTAGAAATAGGAAGTTGTTAAAATATAACAAGCAGGACACTTACCTGCTACCATTTCTCATATTGTCTCTTGTAAAACCACCCCTTCGGTCGTCGCCGCTGGGCTCAGGTCTGTTGCTTGACCGCCAATCGCCGCCGGTGTCTGCACTTCCCATACGATCGCTGATCCCCATTCGCCCACCTCTACGTCTGTCATTTTCCGCGTTTTCCGCTATCTCTATTCTTATCCGCCGATTCTTTAACGTCTGTTAAAAACAATAATAATCACCAAATTGTTACCAAACCACCAAGAGAACTGGCCATCTTATCCGATAGTCAAGCAGCATTAAAAGCGATCAACTCAGTAACCATCAATTTGAAGTTTTTTTCAAAGAATGCCTAGAAAAGCTGAACAAATTAAGCTAAGAAAATAAAGTCCTCCAACTCTGGGCGCCAGCCCACCAAGGGATAGAAGGCAATGAAAAAGAAAATGATCTATCTAGAAAAGGAGTGAACACTCCACTAACCAGAATCGTTCTGCTTCCTAAGTGAAAACGAACTTAAAGGGGAACTGAAGAACCTGGAAGACCCCATCCATATCTTAGAATAGGAATCCTCCAATGGTCTAAGACACTCGAAGAAATTTCTCACTCTCAAAAAGACACAGAAAAATTAAAGATTTCCTTGATTTAAGTAAGAATAATATTGAGATTGTCACAGCGTTTTTAACAGGACATTGTCTCCTCAATGAACTCCTCAGTAAATTGAACAATGGCGAAAGCAGATTCTGTGTAGTGCAGGATCAAATCCCTCAAATGACTCAAGTGGCAATGGGCAGGACACCTGTCAGTAAGGATGGACCACAAAAATTACAGCATTGCAGCCACGAGGAATTTTGAAACCCAAAAGACTAAACCTAGGATAGGATCCTCAGGAAATTAGCAGGAATAACTTGGACCTGCATAGCCAACAATAGACAACAATGGGCCCAATTACAGGGAGATTATTTAAATATAATATAATAATAATAATATAATGTTTATTGTAGGATTCTGTGAGGTGATTCAATATGTGAGGAAGGCTACACCATAATTGGAAATGGTTGAATAAGCTGGAAATGATCATGATTAGGTGAATTAAATTCTACAAAAAATCCAAAAAGTTTCAATACAACAAAACACCAGATTTTAAAATTAATAAAAAATAAATCATCTATGAACAAAATAAATCTATATTTTCAGAATTTAATATTTTTAACCAAAAAAAATCAATCATTCTGTATTATCTGATATATATGTATATCAGATAAATATTTGAATTGAGTCACCTCTATATACTTAAAATAACTAAATAAATATGTTCACATCTATATAAAGAAAACAATTGACTAATAAAATTATGATAACAATTGTTTTTTAGGGAATTTACCCATTTTTTACTGATAAAAAACAAATATTTCGATTTTTAAATGATTATAGAAATGGCTACAATTGTTTTATTAAACACAGAGGTAATTTCTTTGTTAAAACAAAAAAAATATATTGTAAAAACACACTTACTGTATCTGGAATAATTAGTGCACTCATCAGGCTCTCCCTATCTTCAAACTCAACATATCCATAACCCTTAAGCTTGGGAGTGTCCCCAAGCCGATCACTTTTTGGAATTCTCATATTAGCTATCTAAAGTAAATTAAAATATAAAAAACTACAATATACCCACAGAAGAATGCTGAAAACACATGCTACATACCCTCATATTTTTAAAAAACAATGATATCTCTTCTTCATCTATGTCGTAAGGCAAGTTTGATAGGTACGCAATAAACGGCGGATCTTTCGGCACTTTGTCGGCGATATCGTCATAGTCTCTGGAAGCCTTGGGCGCAGTCGGCAACACCACATTGATAATTTTCTCGTCGAATCCATCTTTGGCACAAAATAAAATCAAAAATCAGTTCAAAATCAAAAACAAAAAACATCCAAAATCCACTTTTCGCGACTTAAAATAGTCAGATTGTTCAGAATGGCATTGAAAACACTTTAAACAGATTGTAGGTCTACGACAGACTAGTCTGAATTGAGTTTTGACAGCATTTGAACCATCAACTCGCAGATTAAACTTAAATTGCTGACTACGAGGGTTTCCAACCCACTCAGACACATCACCTATGCTGTGTAAAGAGCAATCCCGGGCTGAGTGCAGAGCTGGCATGTTTCTGGTTCCCCCGCCTTGCTGTTAAGCAAGCCTCCGGCTAGAAGGTGATTGTCTGTCTCAGACCTTCCCGTTGCTTTTGTTGGTGTAACAAGTACACTGTATGTGAGCCCCAGGTGCGAGATTGCCACAGACCTATACCTGATTTCAGCGAATTCTTTGCCATAATATCATCACTTATAATAAATTTTATTGAACTGAATTTTTTAAGAAATAGAAGTTACCCTTGAACTAAATACTGTTGTATAATCAAATTTTAAACTTTGTGGAACGTTTATAAGTAAAGAAAAACAAAATTTAACGTATAAATACTGGCACATATCGATTTAATTATCATGTATAAAACATTTTACCATAATCATCAATTTCGTCAGCCCAGCTTGTAGTAGATTTCCTAATTGGTTGTGTCGGTAAGCTTCCTGTTGTTTCTTGCAAGAAATCAGTCAATGCAAGGGTCTTCCCTTTAGTTTTCTTCCCTTTTTTACCTAAAAATAGAGAAAAAGAGGTGTTTGATAAGCGTCGATTAGCTACGAGCACGAGGACAACTTTACTGATCGCTATATCTAAAATTGGTACGCGTATATCTAACTATTGCAAGCATTCACTACGACCAGGATACCGTCGGCCTCCTTAAGTTAAAAATAACTAACAAACAACAACCTAGTTTATAGTTAAAGAGCGGATTTAACAAATGACCAACTAACCTGAAGCCATATTTCACGGAAAAGAAAATGAACAAAATTTTGACGTTGTCAGAACAGTCAAAACAGTGAAGACGTCGACGGTTCCGGCAGAGCTACCAACAGAAAATATGGCGCTAAATTCAAAAATACAATAAAATAAAGTTTAGCCCGGCCTTAAACTGTTGGCTGTGACTGTAGGTTTATATTTAATTATAAGTGCTATAGGTGGTTTTGGTTTAATATAATGATATATAATTCATACAATAATAATAGTTAATTTTATGAAAAACTGATAAAGTTTGAGCCGGTTTGAGCAGCTACAGACCTTTATTGGGAAAAGAAGAAGAATAGATTTCTGTTTTATCGACTCCAATGTCAATTTTTTAGACATACGTGTTTGGCGTTTTCAATGGAAATTTGAAAAATCTACTCTTTAAAAGATATTTTAATTTTAAAGAAAATGACCGACATCATACAGCAAAGTAGATTTGAGAAATCTCTGGGCTTATTGACAACAAAATTTGTTTCTTTGTTGCAAAAATCAAAAGGAGGTATTTTAGATCTGAAAGTTGTAAGTAGTTAATTTTTTTCCAATTTTACAAAAAAAACAGCATGAATGTTTGTTTTTAGGCTGCTGATATTTTGGAGGTTCGGCAAAAACGCCGTATTTATGATATAACTAATGTTTTAGAAGGTATTGGCTTAATAGAGAAGAAAAGTAAAAATAGTATACAATGGAAGTATGTATTCCTTCTTTTATTAATATCTATATCCCTACATTATTATTATTTTTTATAAAGACCATATACAGCAGCTAGGGAATACTGTTCTAATTTACCAGCGAGTAATGGTAGCAATTCAGATAATTTTTTAAAAATAAGGAAACTGAAAGAAGAGTTGGCAAGACTTGACGAATACGAACATGAACTTGACCTGCAGAAATTATGGATACAACAAAGCATAAAAAATATCACAGAAGATTTAGATACAAGCAAATATTTGTATGTTACCAGCGATGACTTTCTAAAAAGCCACAATAATGATAAAACAGTGTTTGTTGTAAATACCCCTATAAACCATACAAATATGAAATATCAAGTAAGAAAGATATTAATAATTACAAAAAATATATTTTAAATTGCTTATTTTTTTAGAGTGGTCAGGATACATTCAATTTAAGAATTAGATCTTCGAAAAACCCCATTGTTGCTCATGTTTTAACAAGAAATATTGGTGATAGTGAAAAACTAAACAGGAAGAGATCCCAACAAGTAAGTACTTTTAAAAGTAGTATTTTTTGGTAATAATATATTTTCAGCAAATGCAATCTGATATAGAGGATTTAAATATAAAGAAAGAAGCATTCTTTGATGATCCTGATTTAATAACTGCTGAAATTCTGTTCAGGAAGATTCCTAAATATAATTTTAATAGCAGGACTGAAGATCGAACAGGTTGTGGTATTGGTAGAGAAAAAAGTCATAGTAGTTATTTGTTAATTTTAGGTGATGAGCCTTTTCTTCGACTTAGCCCCGTTCCCTTATCGCAAGAATATTCATTTGGACTACTAGATAGTGAAGGTGCATGTGATCTCTTTGACTTGAGTTTATAAATATTTTATATATAGATATTAAACCTTTATGAATAAGGTACAATAAAGTGATGCTATTTTTATATTATTTCATATATCTACGCAATTTAAAAATCTCATTTAAACTTTATACTGTATATATTCTAATAAAAATATATTCTCTTTCTGCCTTTTGTAAATGTAATTAATCGAATTTAACAGATTTAGATTTAAAGAAAAAAAATGGGGAATATCCACGGAATATCAATTTATTGAAGTAATTAATATATGATTTTGTACCTTTCCTACGCAGAGGGAAAATTTTAAATCCAAGGACTACAGACGCTACAGACTACAGAGATTAATTATTAATCAGTGGCTTGGCCAGAGATATAGAGGTAAGGAGAATGAATCAAGGATACTATATAGAGTGCGTTCCACTAAGCGCTCATAATGCTCAAAATATGCCTTCGATCGTTCCACATGACGATCGCGGACGTTGTGGTCGCGGCGTAAACGTCACTAATGACGTCATTATTTTCGCTCACACCGAGCTCACAACGACCCATCTGAATATTAGGATCGAAGTGGACGTTGAGGAATTTTGGCGCAATTTTTAAAATTTAGACAAAAGATTATCGACTTAGGATAAAAATTTTCATAGATTCTCATAGCCAATAATACGTGGCCTAAGTGTTCGCTTTTACGTCGCGATTTTGTAAATGCATTCCACTATTAATTCGTCTGAACTAGATGAAGAAGTTTCAGACATATTCCGATGCACCAAAAATCCAACTGTCGCCAAAGACATTTTGATTTCTTTTTTTAGACAGCTTTTTGAATTCTCTTCTGTGATTTTGACTATTATTTACTATTTATTTACATACATTGACAGGATTGACGCTTAAAACGCCCCATAACCCATTCCACTTGAGTTTATGATTGTAACGCTCGCAAGCAAGTGGAACCGGAAAAATCGTGATCTTGAGCGTGAACGTTATGAGTGCTTAGTGGAACGTACTCATAGAGGGAATGAACTAACTCTGGAACATGGCTGGAATAATGTACATATTCTCTGGCAAGGATACTATAGAGATAATAAAGGATAGTTCGATCAGTGCCTTCTATTAAAAGATTAATAGAAGGCACTGGTTCGATCTATTTTTTATTCGAATTTCCAAGGTTTCGGTTTGAGTGACTAGTTTTGTGCACGGATGTGTGGTTTTGTACAATGACATAAGCGCCAGTAAGCGCGAACATGGCGGCTACCATGATCACAAAATAGGAATCAACTCTGCAATCTGCAACTATCATCAAAATAGCAATACCTAGCAATCCGAGATTCCTAATTACTGTCCTCCATTCACGCAGTTGTGCAGCTCTAATCGAGTCATAAAGTTCAGAACTGTTCCGCGCCATATGGAGGCACTAGGCTATCGCGCACATCTCTTTTCAGAACCGTTCTGAGTAGCCCAGGGCGTAAAGCTCTGAACACGCTCTGAAACTTGAAATTCGCGAATGGAGGACAGCAATTTGTGCAAAATTTGTGCCATGTTTATGATTTCTGCGCACGTTCCTGCTCATTCACCTTAACTCTATTTCTTTGGGCTAGATACAAAAATTGTACTCTGAAGCCCCGTTCTCAGAACTGCGTCGTGTCGACAGCGACACTGATTGACACTTCAAACGACCAATGGGAGCTATACTAAATTTAAAATTGACAGCTGTTTGAATTTTGTACAAATCTGATTGGTTCTTTTGTCGTGTCGCTGGCGACAGTCGCAGTTCTGAGAACGGGGCTTGAGGTTTAAATAACAAATCACATTTTTGACTTTGACAGTTTTTCTGACTTGACTTGCTTGACGTATGTTAAGAAATGGTAGTTCCTGTTATGTACTGAATTGATTCTTTAATATTTTTTGGAACAGGCCGGTGTTTTAAGCAACAATCATTTGAATCATTTTACTCAGTTTTAAATACGTGTTATGAGTAAAATGGAGAAGCTTCCTAAATTGGTGGACGTTTATCAACCGACTCATAAATTGAAGTCTAGACAGCTACCCTTAGTTGTGGACGAAAATTTAACGGTAACTAAAATTATGTCTTTTTGGACTAAAAACTATCAATAAAACACCACCAAAAAACCGTATTATTGTTCTAAACATTCGTTTTGATTTGTGATAAAATGGCACGCATGTTTGGGTTTCTTGACCTACAAAATATTTTGGTTTCAATTGAGATTGAATGCCTATTTCATATTTCTATACCAGTTTTCTTTAGATTCTTATGCTAATAATACAATCTCAAAGAGGATGTATTATGTTTAATGTTGTACAATACAAACTACCTTGATATTTTTTTAGCTTGTGATGGATATAAAGAATTCAAACATCATTTGCGACACGAGAACGTTAAGTAGCAAAGAACTTAACGAATTCTCTTCAAAGTTAGGCATACTGTCACCCGAGGAGTTTGAAGGCTCTTTACAAATCACCAAACATGAACTTATCGAGGTTCTAAATCAAAATGTCCCTTGTGTTGGTTGCCGTAGAAGGTTTGTTCAGATATGTTGTTTTATTCTCAAATAAATCGTAATTTTTGCTTTCTAGTGTTGAGAGGTTATATTTCCAACTGCTCAGTTTTGGTCACTCCACTTTAGACCCCATCATAGTCAAACAGGATGGTACAATAACTCTGAAGAAAGAAAAACACGCCTACAATATATTGGGCAGTATTTTTCATGATCACTCGTAAGTATTATTTATTTTCCTCCATCAAATACTTCATGTTGATTCTTTTAGACATCGTCTAGCTACCTTAATCGAAACACAACCAAAAAGAAATAAGAAAAGTGTGAGGTGTCTGTTACACTCTTTGGATTCGCAGAGAAGTCGACCTCTAACACCTGTGTGGAAGGATGTTTGGGACTGTATGAAGATAGATTGCCGTAAGGATATCTGTATCATAGAAGCATCCAGCTTATTTACCACTCTAGAGAATTATTTGAGGAAGCACAGATTTTGTGGAGAGTGTAGAACAAAAGTCTTAAAAGGTGAGGTAATTTCCTTTTTTGTACCCCTCATTTACTTAACCTGCATTTTTTTGTAGCTTATACTTTACTAGTCGATGAACCAGAACCCATCAAAGAAAAGGGTTATGTCTCTTCTTTGTATGCAGGTATAAAGAGATGCTTGCAAGATAAACATATTCATCTCAATCCTAAGACGGACTATATTACTAAAATGATCAATAGGGCTGAACCTGAATTATTAGGAAGGTAAGGCTTTCAGTGTTTTCTGTGAAAATATACATTTATAGAGAAATTAATAAAAGTTAGCGTTCGTGACCTCAAAGATGTCAAAACTATTACCTAGTTAATTCTAATAAATAAAAATTTGTTTGAAAGGTAGGGCGCATTTTTTTCTTTTTCTTATAATGTCTTGTTATAATGATTAAAAAAAACAGCACGCCATGGGAGCAGGTAAACAAATTTGGATAAAAAGGACTATGTTGGTAGTCATGGCAAATGTTGCCAGCTGTCATAAGATTTTTCCTTGCAAATCTAATTTTCACCATTTTCAATTTTATTATTTATTTCTTATCTGACATTTGTCATTTTCAATTTTATTCAGATTTTTCCTTGACAAGTGTGAAATTAAATCCGCGTAACTCCTTTTTTTATTCTAAGTTTACAATCACATATACTTAATATCTCTAAGCAGTGTACATAAGACACTGGCATAGATAAATGAAACAAGTTTAGATTGGAAAGTGCCCATAAGGACAATGTAAACACTATTTGGCGCTATTCTCGCAACGGTCGCGACCCAAAACTTTTGAGAATTTCGGAGCGGTTCGGCTTTTTCCGGAATTATATCGCCAAATATTGTTTATTCAAATTTATTATTATTTTCGTTTAATTTTATAAATAAAATACAGTGTGTTGCATACAAGAAACTTTATTTTATATAAGGACGCATGTATGAAATACCGATGAAACATTGGAAACCGACGTTATGCCACGATCCACGATGGTTTTTGCAGTTCACAGTTCACAGCACAGCTTTTTAAGTTTTTAATCAATTCACTTTTTCACAATTATTATCACCGGTTGGAGTAAATAAAACTTGAATTAAACTCACATGATAGCAATAATTACTTTGAAAATGGACGCTATAAACACTTTTCGGAATTTCTTAAATGAGAGCGGTTTAGATTTTAAAATTATTTCTGTTTTTGTTTGCCATTGTTCTTAGCGGCCGCTATAGCAGCGCCAGATCGCGTATAACGGTCGCGACCCAAAATAATTTCGCGACCTGAAATTTTTACGGGCTTTCCAATCTAAACTTGTTGCATTTATCTATGGACACTGGTATCAAGAATTTTTACCTATAGGCATATATAGGCATATTATGTTTAAATTTATTCCATTTTTACAAAAAAATATATTTTTTATGCACATTCCTTTTGCTAATAATAATACCTACCACTTCTTTATGGAGTAGAGGTAAGGAAAAATATCTTCGTGCATTAAAAAATGGGGGTCATAAAAATGGGAAGGTTTAAGATGGCGCTGCTGTAGCTAAAACCTAAAATTTAAAATAGGCGCCGAAAATTTTTAGAACAGGAAATTATTCAAGAGATAAATATTTGACGTGAAGGCGCGGATTTCAAAAAAAATACAGCAGTATTATAAAGTATGTTTCAAAAAATTCATTGCTTACAAAACAAATGATTAGATGACTTATTAGACATTTTTTCCGTTTACCTACTTATTTCTGTTCAACATCAAGAACTTTTTGTTTAGTTATTGTATGTATGTGTGTAATAAGACGTGTTGAAAGAAAAAATGTATCTATTAATTTTTTGTTAAATCTTTCGAATTGAGGCCTTTTTGACAGCCACATTGCTTTAAAGTGAGACATTCTTAATTAAACGCCGTTTAAAGTGGAAAAATAGATGTAATGAAAAACCATAAATACTCCTACTACATATTTTAACAATTTTTATTTTGCAAAACTGACTGTAAAATCCTTCATATTGAAGGAAATCCTTCAATTCTGGCACTGGTTAAAACCGTATCATCGGCATAAAATATTGCAAGTTGTCATGAAGCTTTGCAATTCTGATATTTGTCATTTTTGATTTCATTTTTTTCTGATCTGACATTTTTGCCATTTTCAATTTTATCCTGAGTTTTCTTCTCTGAAAATTTTGAAATTCAATCCGGGTTTTGTTTAGTTAAAACTGCGATTTTTATTGCAATAAAATGCCAAAACCATTAAATAGTCGGAATCAACAACTTGTCTCATCAAATGAATGCATTCATCAAATATTTTGATGACGTGCACTCCAACTTTTATTGATTTCTCTATAATTACATTTATTTTTCTTATAGTCGTAGGGAGAGGCACGCAAAAACTTTAGAAATTGCCCAAGAAGAAGTCTTGACATGTCTGGGAATTTGCATGTACGAAAGACTGCACAGGGTCTACATGAGAGTGCGGTAAGTAAAAATGATTTTCATGGTCTTATTTATGAACAGGGTTCGAAAATATTGTTACGTTTTTCGTCGGTTCCGTGTGGATAAAAAGTCTAATTTATTTAAACAAAAATTTATTTTACACTAAGTAACAAAGCAATAACGATAAAACACTTAAAAACCTATTGTCAAACTTATTTACAACTATTTATCTAAAAGGAACTTATTTGAATTTATTTAAAAGGCGCGAGCACGACTATCGACTGATTACTCTGTGCAGAGGGCCTTGGTTTTTATACCACCAGTTAAACAGTTCTCGATTAATCCATAGATCATTAGGTGCATAGAGAAGATTTAGATGTTCTAGTGTATTCGCCGCCATTCCAATGAACTTTCGATTCTTCTCGTACATTCGATCAGCTGAGTCATTACGGTGTCTCTTCTTTGATGCGATTCCAGAAGATCATATGGGGCATATCAGAATGAGGCTGATTTCGCCACAATATGGTGGTCCGAACTGTATTCCGGAAACTTCGGCAGCATATTCTGCAGATAAGAATAAGTAAAAAAGTTGGTATAAATGTATGTCCTAAAATGCTTTGTTTCGGAGATACAGGGTGTAAAAGTTTCACTTTTATTCGATTTTTTCCAAATAATTTCTGCAGTAACGTCAATATTTGGATCAAAATTGTTGTCTGGCAGTTTTTTGACATGAGAAATTTGATTTTGAAGTCAATATGACTCCTACTAGTAGAGGGCGCCACCTACATATTTTTTAACTGGTTTGAAGAGTAATAACTTTTTATCTGTACCTGTACAAAACTACTGAGTAAAAAAATATACATTTCGTGATTTTTTACATAAAAAAGGTCTCTTGGTAAAAATCGCTATGAGTAATGGTTTTCGAGATATTTGGAATCGAAATTATCAATACATCGTGTCATCATTGACATAAATTAAACATGTTGACTAAATAGTTATTAGACTGAGATCATAAATTTGAAATGTTTTTGTGCCAAAAGTTCAACAGAAACTGTTTTATCATCATTTTTTTGCAGAAAATTTATGATTAATTTAAAAAAACTAAACATTTCCCAAATTTATTAAATAACTATCTACTCAACGTGTTTATTTTTCGTCAACTGCGATAATGACATGTATTGACTATTTCCATTCTAAATATCTTGAGAACGGTTGCTCGTAGCGATTTTAACAAAGAGTTATTGTTTACGTAAAAAGTCACAGAGATGTACATTTTTTCCCTTTTCATGTCAAAAAACTACTAGACACCAATTTTCATCCAAATATTGACGTTGTTTCAGAAATTATTTGGAAAAAATCGAAATAAAAATGAAACTTCTACACCCTGTATCTCTGAAACTAGGCATTTTAGGACATACGTTTCTACGAACTTTTTTACTTATTTTTATCTGCAGAATATGCTGCCGAAGTTTCCGGAATACAGTTCGGGCCACCCTGTATATTCTTCTACTATTTCCAGTGTTGTGTTATTTATTAGAATGTCTTTCTTTCTACTAGTTCGTTTTGATATATATCACATGATAATGTATCCTCCTAACCTTGTTTATGAATGAAATGTGTCGTTTTAGGGAGGAAGAACGTATGTGCCAACTTTTCGCAGCGGTAGCCGTTCATAGCCTGAGTATGAGCTTTGAAACGGCCGTGGAAAAGGTCAGGGGAGTCTCACAGCTAGAACTACTTTACGAAGAGTTTGCGAGAGAAGAACAAGCGAAACAGAAACACAAGGAAGCGAAGAGGATAAGGCGCAAACGCAGAAAGGAAAAGCTGATGGATTGCGACGAGAAGGAGAATTGTTGTGGACAGGGTCATGACAGCAAAGAAGATCTAGATAAGGTAAGAAAATATCTCCAGTCACTCTTTACAAATGCCATAGAAATATTCATTGGTTTGTTCAGATTAGTTCAGAAACAGCACTAGTAATCGTATTTTAAAGCGTAAAGTTACGTTCTAAAACTATGCAGTGTTGCGGGCTACACGCCATAGAACCAATAAAATTTGTACTAAAGTCAAACAGCTGTCAATTTTGACTTTAGTTACTCAACTAACAACTATGAATGATTGTTTTTGTAGTTTAGCCAGCGACACAACTTTACTATCAGAATATCAACGAAAATAAAATAAAAAAGTTTTTGCAATGGCCCGGTCTTGAACTTTGAATCCTCGGTTCGTAGTCGGAAACTTTACCCGCTGCGCTATGGTGACTTACGCTTCGTCCTACGTGGGAGACAAAAGCGCGCGATTCGGGCACACGGTGGGTTATTAGCATGAAAAAGGTGATCGAAATTCGAAAAAGCAAATGTGATTATATAATAGATTTCCCAAAAAAAGATAAATGATAAGTTAAATCATGTCTGCCATGAATGACGTTGCCATGGGTGTGTTTAGTTGCATTCATTTGTTTCAACGAAACGTCAAAGTTGTTACTTCTCACAGATAAGAGGTAAATGGCTAAATTTTATGTTTAAAATTATAAATTGTTGTTGTTCTTGTGCTCTTTTTACGTTTATATTATTGTTTTGATTGAAAATGGTTCAGCAAGCTGCAGGTATGTATTCTACAAAAACGTATTATTTATTTTGATATTCTCTATACTAACGTTTTTTTTGCATAAAGTTAGGCGTTCAGAAAATTTGATTAGAAGACTTGGTTATACTTAGAGATTTAGTTGCGCTTTCGAAGAATTCAGCATATTGTCTATATACGTTTTACTTAGTAAACATTGGGCTTTCATACAAATAAAAAATACTGCGACTTTTTGCGACTTTTGCTGATAAAATAGAGAAAAACATTCTGGTTTCCTCTAATTTGCCAATCAGTGATATACTAATGCGAGGTGTAAACCGCGATGGCATTGTTGTGTACAAAGCGATCGCATTAGTGCCATTAGCAGTATAGCACTATTTGGCATTAATAGCAACTTTAGTGGTTGGGCATTGCTCGCGGATCAGTCGTAGCATTAGTAGTATTAGTTGCGATATTACTACTGGCATTAGTGGCATTGACCGTGGAAACACTGGAACAGTGATTTTTCTTTCTTTTTTTAGAATCGACGAATTATCATTTATTTTGGTCATATTATTTCCTCTTTAATTGAAAATAGCGATAATTTATATAAGGTCTACATAAAAAAATTTCGATCAACTATCTGTGTCAAATACCCCACTGTGGGGCGGTGCGAGCGACGCGTATTTATCAAATAACGTTTTCTTACGAAGCTGTCCTAGGTAGGAGAGTCGCGCGACTGAAGCGGCATCGCAAGCAATGTAAATATGTCGCGCTAGTCGCGCTCATCGCCCTCTGTTGTCGCACGCGTCGCTCGCTCGCTTTTGTCTCCCACGTAGGACGAAGCCTTATTCGATTTATATTCAATACTAGAATTTAACAGAATAAATAAAAAAATTATAGGATCTTCTTCCGATGCGCAGTAGTGAACGCAACGGGTATCGGCAGCCAGATGGGCCGCATGCTGTTCCAGAGAGCAAAGATATATCAAACAGCCATCTTTCTTAAAATACTTTCTCGAAAACGTTGCTAGCTCTTAGACTATAATTAGTGAAGATATTAGCAAGTTTTTTGAATGAAGGGAAATTCCAAATAAAATTGAAAATGACAAATATCAGATTTCCAAAGAAAATTTCATGACAATCTTTTATTATTTTTTTAGAATTGTACGTGCTCATTAAGTGCAGACAAGGAAAGCTCAAGGGATTGCGGATGTAGTAGTGAGGAACTGGATGATTTTGATGAGTGTTCAAAGCTCAACCAGTCTAGTGAGAAATCAGATAAATTAAGGTATTTATTTTTTATATATTTATTTTATAAGAGAAAGGAGATTTCACAGTTTCATTGTGCTTAAAGGGCCCCATACAGTTCGGTTATTTTGCTAGGTTTTAACCACGCGGTTAAAAAAGCACGGATATGTTAACCGCGTCGTTTATGAACGATGGATTAGATAAAGAACTTGCTAGCAGTGGCGGCACTAATTGTTGTAAAAGAGAAAACCCACAAAGGGAATACAAAAAAATGTTGCAAAAGTTGGCTATTTAAGCGGTAACCATTTTTAAATATTAAAAGAGCTTCCCTCACTGATACGTCATTACCTTCTTATTTTTTTTGTTGAAACATCCTCTTAAAGAGTCACTTTTCTTTTTTATACTTTCCTTGTTTGCCCGATAGTTGGCATTTTGCTATCAGTTTATTATAGACATCATTTTTCTTTTCCCTGTATGATATTCCGCAGATTTAATTTTCCATACATGGAGAACTAAATAACTCAATAAATTCAATGGTAAGTTATTTAGTATTAGTGATCATTTGTGTCGAACGCAAGCACCAAAAACAATATACAGGGTGTTCCGAACTGTATTCCGGAAACTTCGGTGACATATTCTGCAGATAAAAATAAGTAAAAAAGTTCGTATAAATGTATGTCCTAAAATGCTTAGTTTCGGAGATGCAGGGTGTAGAAGTTTCATTTTTATTTCTATTTTTTCCAAATAATTTCTGAAGTAAAGTCAATATGTGGATGAAAATTGGTGTCTGGGAGTTTTTTGACATGACAAATTTGATTTTTATGTCAATATGACTCCTACTAGTAGAGGGCGCCACTTACATATTTTTTAACTGGTTTGAAGAGTAATAACTTTTCGTCTGTACCTGTATAAAACTACTGAATAAAAAAATTTACGTTTTTTACGTGAAAAAGGTCTCTTGGTAAAAACCGGTATGAGTAATGGTTTTCGAGATATTTGGAATCATTGACATAAATTAAACATGTTGACTAAATAGTTATTAGACTTAAATCATAAATTTGAAATCTTTTTGTGCCAAATGTTCAACAGAAACTGTTTTATCATCATTTTTTGCAAAAAAAATATGACTAATTTAAAAAAATTAAAATTTCCCAAATTTATTATTTCACTGAAATAACTATCTACTCAACGTGTTTATTTTTCGTCAATAATAACATGTATTTACTATTTCCATTCTAAATATCTTAAGAACGGTTACTCGTAGCGATTTTTACAAAGAGATATTTTTTACGTAAAAAATCACAGAGATGTATATTTTTTTACTCGGTAGTTTTATACAGGTACGGACAAAAAGTTATTACTCTTCAAACCAGTTAAAAAATATGTAGGTGGCGCCCTCTACTAGTAGGAGTCATATTGACATCAAAATCAAATTTCATTTCAAAAAACTTCCAGACACCAATTTTCATCCAAATATTGACGTTATTTCAGAAATTATTTAGAAAAAATCGAAATAAAAATGAAACTTCTACACCCTGTATCTCTGAAACTAAGCATTTTAGGATATACATTTATACGAACTTTTTTACTTATTGTTATCTGCAGAATATACTGCCGAAGTTTCCGGAATACGGTTCAGACCACCCTGTATAAATAACTAAACAGTGCTGGAGCCACGGGTTGAAATAGAACCGTACAGTTAAAATATCTGGTGAATATGAACACTCACATACACTGACGTTTTTAACTGAACAATCCTGACTGTTCGGTTAAAACCGGGCAAAATAATCGGGGTGGGTGGGGGGCTTTATACTCCTTCCTTAGTCTGTTTATTCAAAGTTCTTTCCTTATTCTCCTATTTATTCCATCATTGTTTTGATATTTAAAACAGTATATACAGTCTGTTCAGCGATCGTTCAAAGTTACGTCATCATTGCTTGTCAAATATGCGTTTTAGGGTTTGTTTAGGGCTTGTCTGAGATCAATTCACATTGTTTAGGAAATTTTAAGTACGTTTTGAATATATTTATCGAGTGAGTTCCGTGTTTATTACTTAAATTCATGTAGGTATATTAGGCCTGTATTCATTTTGATTGTTTTTCAATATATAATTTTAGGCGCATTTACTAGTTTTTTCCAGGAAAGTCGTCCCTATTTTAAAAATAAACTAATGAAAAAGCTTGAGATTCTATACGATAAAATACACTTTCATTTTTGATACTTTAAAAATTGAAGATGCCTAAAATAATTAAATATACTCGTGCCTCTTTTACGAGTAAAGGCGTCACCAATCTGTTTCATCTGGTGAAAGGGAGAGTTCGACAGTATATGACGTGACATTGAACAATGGCTGAACAAACTTTACCTACAGGATGTTACTTAATAGAATAATAACTTTTTATTGCGTTATTTTGAAAGGTGTAGTAATCAGTTATGGCTAGAGGAATGTAGTAAATGCGAAAACGATGGGAAAGACTCAAATAGGAATGGACTAAAATTGGGTTCAATGTGCAAATGTGATAGTTCTTACGAGCCAAGCCAGTTTGGTCAGAATAGGTTAGTAAATTTGACATTCTTCATTAATTATTTTCAATACAAATCGTTTTTATATTTTTTTTTAGTAAGAAGGAGTCTGGCTCAACATCCGATCATTCTCACGACTGCGGTTACTCCTCAGAAAATAATAACGGCTGTTGTGAAACAGGTAATTTATCTATACATATACCGTGTGTTTCATCGTCGACCTGAACATAGGAAATTCCTTGTAAATTTTAAAAACGATGAATAAGTTTTGCCCATTTTATTTTACAGAAAAGTTTATTTGAAACTTTTTAAAGAACTTCTTAAAATGGAACAATTTGTTCATTTTGAATAATTTATACGAATTTGTTCTTGAGTTATGAGAGATACAAAAATACTAAATTAGACGAAAATCTAAAATAATCCGGTCCTGGTCAAACAAACATAACTATCACAAATGATGTCACAATATGACAAATCTATTATGATTTTCTTTTAAAGATCTATTAAAAATATCATAAATTATATTCTCTATGAAAAGTTACACAGAGTACACTGCAATAAATATAATATTTCTTTAAAAAATGAAATATATTTCGTAAATAAGTAAACATACTGCTTCAAAAGGAAATTTATTGATTAAACAGTTAAAAATGCACAAAAAACTAAGTAAATTTTTCCTACGCTCCTCACCCCCGTCCAATAATTCTTGGTGTTCGGAATATTTAAATGGCTTAAAATTATGCTTCTTCAAAATTCGCCAAGCAGTGATAAAATGTTATTCGGCTATTTCTCCGAGTATTCTGGTACTTACTTGTTTTTCATCTTCTACTTGTAACAAAATATTTAATTCATTTTCATTTATTATTTCCCTATGGTCCTGATCAATATTATTCTCCTTTTTATTTCTATAGTCTAATAACTATTTGTTTTTTTTCATAAAATAAATCGTTTACAGTCTGTAGACTATTTCCTCCATAGTACCACTAAATTATAATTTTTTTGTTCAGTTGTATAATTCATATTTACAAATTATTTTTGATACTTTTATAGTCAATATGACATTAAAAAAAATATATATATTTTTTATATGATATATAATTTTTTATAGGTTCCTTAATATCTAGTATATCCAGTTCTCCAGAAGGATCAGAACTAGCATGTTCTGAGTCCTGTTGTGAAGTCAAAGAGCCCACAGACTTTGGAAGCCAGTGCAGATTAACTTGCGGAGGAGGTCTTAGCTTACAAGAAATGCTTGAGGTGAGAAATCACAAAAAGTTAATGGTTGGATTATATTTCGAGTATTAGTCGAAACGTTACCCTTAACATTAACTCTAAGAAATTAATCTTCAGCTTAAAGAAATGCCGTTCATACTTCTCTAACTTAGAATAAATTAGTAAGCGCTTGTGTTCATATGAATCATATGTTTTCAGCAAACTAACTTCGCAAATATATTTAGAGTTTCGAAAACTAGCGAGACTATTGTTCACAGTAGTTAGTTATACCAATCCCGCGTAAAATGTTTTGTGCAAAATATATATATTTTTGACTCTTCATTAGGCATTTTGCAAAACGACTGAAAACAGATAGGCTCTTTGAAAAATATTCTTTTTTTGTTAAAAATGCCGGCGTTTTATAATATGCCTAGACTTTTTGCAAAATGCCGAGTTATTCAATACACCTGCGACATATTATAAGCTTCACAGCTTCTCACATCGATTTGATCAAAAGCAAAAATGGATTCAAGCAGTTCAATGAAACAAGAGTAAACAAAGTGCCCATTACATAATGAAAAAATTAAATAGGCATATACTTTGAGGGGATAAAATATAATTTGCAATATTAATGGTAACCTATAAAAAATTTCGTTATAAGCTAAATAGGCCCAGTTATGTCTCCACTAGCAAAACCGGTTCGTAAAACCCTTGATTATGAGTAGACAATGGCAAAACTAAGCTCGCTACCGTAGTTGAACTCATCTAAAAAGTTTTATTAGCTTGAATAATAAATTATAATACACAAGTTAGACCTTCTGGAGATATCGAAATATTTCCTTTTTTTTATTTTTAGAATTTTCACAAATTATACTTCATAACACTTTTAGATTAATAATATAACAAATTTTTCGTGTATTCGCTATTTAAACCCGTGTATTTGTTTGTCCGCTGTTTATGGTGTTCTCCTATAGTGGCAGCACTGGTGGAGAATGTACCAAGCCAATAGATTTCGATACGATAGTGACGATACGACATTTGATTTCAGGTGCATAGCGAGGACGACAACGAGGAGTGTTATATAACAGCGGAGGAGGTGAGAGAGTTCAAAAGTCGAAACCGGCAGGTCTACGAGAAAAGACAGGAACTGCGGGAGACGCTGCAGAAGAGGTTCGCCCAGTTCTGCGTGAACGGGCCCCTTACCGTTCCCCGTCTGCTGGTGCAGACCAAATATGCTTCAAACTAAAGAGATGCGGTGGCATTTTAGTCCCATAGTACGCCCAATTAAACGGACCCTTTCATTTGATGTCAGTTTCATTTTCAGTTTGATAAGGTTATATATAATTTCTATTTATACATTATATTTTTTATATATATAATCGCCCCCTCCTCCATCTTTTGTTTTCTTATTGTTTTTAAAATTTGTTCGATGAAATGGGATTTTTTTAAGAAGGTAAAGCCTCAATTTTCTATGTATTTGTTGCATTCCATATTGGGTTTAAATTGTTATAGAAATTGTTTTGTATTTAAGTAATAAATAAAGAAATTATTCAATCAGATCGACTATATTTAACGTGAAAATGTTCTATTATGGATTATTAATAATTAATTCTCTTTAAAGTCCCGTCTACATATAACGTTTTATCTGTCAGCCTTACCTGTTTAGTCAAAACGCAGCAAGTAAGACATTAAGTCTATTATTTGGCGCAGTTTTCGACAATATTGCAATTGGTAAGTGTGTTGTCCGAGACCAACGTTGGAAGGTGTTTGCCACATCGTGTGGGACCGGTTTTAAGTGTAGACGAAAAAACGGTTCGTTTTATTATTAGAATTGAATTGAAGACGCCCAGCATTTGATTGCAGTATTACAGGTTGCAGCTTGATTTTGCTGCGACTGGCTGTTGGCTGGTCACTGCGACCTGGTCGTCAGTGCGTTTGAGCTCTAAAGCATACCGTGCACTTATGGGCAGCGCGGCGCGGCGCAGTGAAAAACCGTGCAGTGTATTAATTGTATGTAATATAATGCGGGTTCACGGACTAAAGCGAAGCAACGTTGCTTGGTTTTGCATTGTTTTGTTTTTTCGCCGGTATGCTTAAAGTCGTTGCAACCAGTAGATTGCACTAAAATATTATTTTCTGCCGCTTGTTGTCGGTTTTCTTCCAAATTAATAATTTTTCAGATAAAATCCCTCAAATTCAACGCAAAATATTTTATTTTCTAAAAGATATAGTATTTTAGTGTAGTTTTTGCACACGTGCAGAAAATCCAAAGAAGTAGTATACAGACTGGATCAAAGGGAAACTTAAATCTAGTCCCTTTTTTTATCAAGGTTCGGGGTCGATTCTAGTAAAAATTCAAAACATTTTTATATGACATACTCTATTTATGGTTGATATGATACCTGTTATTATACCTTCGAGTTTCGATGTTAAAAAATAAAAAAACATATTTAAAGTTTCTTTTTGATCTGCCCTGTAGAATCTTTTTTTTGTTCCTCTACAATGTGTGAAAACTGCACTAATTACCCTGGTAGAACATTTAATCAGCTCATGCCGCTGATGAATAGGAACTTCGCTTTTTATAGTTAACTCAGATATTCTAACATTTCTGAAAACAATATTTTCTATTTGATAAAACGTAAAAAAATGTTAGATCTGACAGCTATGCCGAAACTGGTCGTTCGTCTGGCCGCCATCTATGTACGTAATATATCCGACCAGCCGACGGCCAGATCGCTGCGACCTGGCCGTCAGTGAGTGAACTCTTAAAAATCTAATATTTGTGAATAGTTTTAAAAAATATTGAGATTTTACACAAAATTGTTTAGAGATATTTAATGCTTATTATCAAACAATATTATTTTCACAATTAGCCTTGCGTGAAAATGAAATGTAAACTATAAATACAATCTTGCAGTAAAATTCTGTTTTTCTTTTCAACTTTATTAACCGCAGGTAAAATTTCAACTGTATAAGGATATCCGTGACAGGGAAAACGTCGTTATATGTAGACGTGGCTTAAATACTGTGTTATTAAATAACATTTTAGTTTAAACTTGTCTAAATTTGATATAGTAAAGCTGTAACCAAATTGTTATTTCTACACTTATTGTAACTTCGTTTTACCTCCTTTTAACCCAAGGCCGTGGCCCAAGATAAGCTGCACGCGTAGAGCGAAGCGAGCGGACAATAAAAAAATACGCCTCAATCCGCCTCGCCTGTATGTGAGGCCACTTCCATTTATATGACTTCAATGGATTTGAATGCTTCGCGGTCCTCTACGCCTCGCTAGGTCGTACGCCTCCCATGTGTGGCCACGCACTAAAAAAAAACTGCAAATATTTATTAAAAAGATCTTTTTATTCTTAAAACTAATAAGTAAAAAGATACACTTAAGATTAAATTTGCTTTTAAAAATCACAGCTATAACAAAAACTGACTGAAACACAGGCTTGCATTGGTCCCGCCAAACCCAAACGCATTTTTCAGTGCTATTCTTCTATTGTTACTCCACACTTGGGTCTTTAATGGTACAAAATTAATGTCTTTATTGTCGCTCTCTTCCAAATTTATCGTTGGGGGTAGAACACCAGTTTCAATAGCCTTGATAGTAAAAACTGATTCTAAATTTCCCGCCGCACCTAGGAGATGCCCATGGGCCCCTTTCGTAGAAGAAACTGCTATATTTTCAACACTACCATCAAATAACTTTTTTATAGCCGTTGTTTCAATGGCGTCTCCCATCGGAGTTGATGTGGCATGGGCATTAACATACGAGACTTCTTTAACATCGATTTTGGCGTCGTTAACCGCACATTTCATGGCTAAATAAGCCCCTATTCCATCGGCACTTGGGGCCGTTAAGTGAGAAGCATCACCGGACAGTCCATAGCCAAGTATTTCCGCGTAAATATGGGCATTTCGTTGTTTGGCATGTTCTAATTCTTCTAAAACTAAAATGGCACTTCCTTCTCCCATTACAAAGCCCTCTCTTTTTTTATCGAACGGTCTCGATGCTTTTTCTGGTTGGTCATTGAAACTGGTACTTAAAGCTCTCAATCTACAAAATGCTGCTATAGATAATGGTGATATACAGGCTTCTGTACCACCACATACCATGACGTCGGCGTAATTATCACGTATGAAGCGAAATGAGTCCCCTATGGCATGAGCCCCGGTAGCACAGGCAGTTGATACAGAATGATTTGGTCCTCTAAAGCCATATTTTATACTAATTTGCCCACCTGCCATGTTTGGTAATATTCGAGGCACAAAAAATGGGCTTATATGGTGATAGCCTTTTTTTAGCCCCTCATATGTAGAACAGATGTCTTGTAAATCGACCATACCCATACCTACTGCCACTCCAGTTCGTAGTTTATCTTTATCGGAGGGATTCAATAAATTTGCATCTGTTAAGGCTTCTTTAGCTGCTAAAAGAGCAAATCCAGTGGCAGGTGCCATTGATTTCATTTCACTCTTAGAGAAATAATTGGAAAGTTGAAACTTATCACCGTTTTCCTCTTTGACTACACCACCTATTCTGCATGGCAAAGAATGATACTCCGGTCCTTCTAACTTTGAAATACCGCTATGTCCTGACACGATAGCTTTCCAGGAGTCTTTTAAATTCGTTCCTACAGGACTTATCACACCAAGCCCAGTCACTACAACTCGTCTTTGCATATTTACAGAAACTGTTATTTGTACCAGAGCTTGAACATTTTGAAATAAATAATAACCTTCCGCGCATCAGCTGATATTTTGCAAAAAAGTCAAAGTCATGTCAAAGTTCAGACAAAACAGCTGATATCTATTAAAAAATATGATAAATCTAAGGAAAAAAACTGATAAAACTATTGACTCTGTTACTTAAAACCGGAAATTTTAAAAAGAAGATTTTTAGTAGCTGTAGCCCATATTTTTGTTCCATGGCTAATGTCATGTCAACAGATTGTCAAATATTTCGCGACTGCCTTCTAAGTTGCACGAGCGTTTTCTTCAGTTAGTTTAATTTCTAGAATTTTCTCAAATTTGATAGAAACTATATTTTGATCTCTCGTAATTATACCAGTTCACCGATCTTAGCAAGTGTCTCTGTACAGGCAAGTACTGAGTGTTCCAACTGAGCGCTATTTAAACAGTTTCTGTGAAAAAAGTATAGTGGAAATCTCTTAGCAAATTTGTTCTTAACAGTATTAAATTCCAATTTACAATGGCAAAATGGGGTGAGGGAGATCCTAGATGGATTGTAGAAGAGCGACCAGATGCTACAAATGTAAACAATTGGCATTGGACGGAGAAAAATGCAAGTCCGTGGTCTCAAGAACGGATCAAAGAATTGTTTAACAATCTTTCAGGTATTATAATTGTTATTTCCACTTATAATAGTCTGTTAAATTAACAATCTCAACTGTCTGTATCTAGTTAAGAGTGATTTAGCCAACCTAGAAATTAACGGAGTAGAAAAATGTGAAGGGGAAGCCTGTGCGAATAATAGAAAAGGTAAATTAATATTTTTCTATGAATGGGACATAATTTTAAACTGGAGCGGAATACTGAATGGCGGAACTGATCTTAAACATAGTGGTACCATAAAAATACCTAATTTGTCTGAAGAAAATGACATGTCTGATCTAGATGTAAGTCCTTTATTTTGTATTTTTTTAAGTCTCTAATAAGATTCTTTTTAGATACAAATAACACTAAAAGATCCTGATGAAGAAGGTCAGATATTAAAAGACATTATGTACAAAGAAGGCAGGAATATAGTACGTGAACAACTCAGTAAATATGTGACCAGTTTAAAACAAGAGTTCTCGAAAGGTATGATCCTACCGAAAAAAGATGAAGTTAAACCGGACACCATTAAGACATTAGCTAGTGGTTTCAATAAGAAAATAAATATGACACCTGTTGTTAGTGAAAACAAACAGGTCGGTTTAAAAATCGACACAACTACGATAACGCAAGAACACAAGTTTCAATGTACGGCAGAGGAGTTTTACAATGCCATGACAAGGATTGAATTGGTAACAGCTTTTACAAGAGGTCACGTGAAATTAGATCCCGTAAAAGGGGGTATATTTGAACTATTTGGTGGGAATATTTCTGGAAAATTCCAGGAATTAATACCTAACGAGAAAATCGTTCAGCTATGGAGGTATAAACAGTGGCCTGAAGGTCATTATTCCACTGTAACTCTGCAGATTAATCAAAAGGTTAGTTGACTATACGGGGTCTAGCCACAATAGGCCCTACCGTGGAGATCCCATTGGGGACCCACTCTGACAACTGAGATATGGGGCCTTTTTGAATTTTTTACCATTTTGAAAATTGCCCATAACTTTTTTATTTCGCGGAATAATAAAATCTTGTAAAGACGTTCTGAAGGCACTTTTTTAAGCACAATCCAGTGGCGTAGTAATTTTTTTCCTATACTGGCTCTTTTTGTCAGAAATAATAAAAAGTATAATTATTTAAATAAAAATCATAGTTGGCTATGAACTTAAAAAAATGCTTACGTTTAACCTTTTCCAACTTCCAACGATATAAAGTTATGGGTATTTATTTCTAAGAGTGAGAGCAATATTAGGTATTTTATCTTTGTATCGAAGAGGGCCTTGATTTTGTGTTGACCCAGTTGCCTAATTATTTTTTGTCGCAATTTAATATTCTTTATTAATTTATCTGCAAAATTAAAGATTTTTGAAAAGGCAAATTAACATTTTATATTAGTTTTATTTTAATTACAATTATAACGTCATTAAATGGAGAATTTAGAGAAAATCAGATTGGAACAAAGGGCCTCATATTTTGGCCTGCTAGATCCTGTGATTTAACTTCTTTCAACTTTTTTATGGGGGAAATTAAAAGACCTTATATATAAGGGAGCAACCATTGGGACGAGAGAAGAATTGCAGAAGGCTACTAGGCAAGCTTTTGGACTTATTACACCAGTTTACCTAATAAATCGCTATAACTCTGTGCGCAAAAGATGTTTATTGTATATTCAACAAGGCTCAGTTTGAACATCTTAGACGATTTTTTTTAGAAAACTATATTCGTCACTCAAAAAATACGTTTTTTAGCTTTGTTCTTTGTTTATTGTATCGATTTCAATTGTAATTACTAAAACTAAAATGTTAATTTACCTTTTCAAAAGTCTTTAATTATACAGATAAATAATAATATAGAATATTAAATTGCGATAAAAAGTAATTAGACAACTACGTCAACACAAAATTAAGGCACACTTCTATACAAAGATGAAAAACCTAATATTTCCCTAATTCTTAGAAATGATACCCATAACTTTATATTGTTCGAAATGGTTAAAAGCCAGCATTTTTTTAAGTTCATAGCCAACTATGATTTCCATTTAAAAAATTATATTTTTTATTATTTCTGACAAAAAGAGCAAGCATAGAAAAAACTCACTACGCCACTGGATTGTGCTTAAAAATGTGCCTTGAGAACGTCTTTACAGAATTTTATTATTCCGCGAAATAAAAAAGTTACGGGTAATTTTCAAAATGGTAAAAAATTCAAAAAGATCCCGTATCTCAGTTGGCAGTGAAAATATCAACAAGCGGTTTATACCATTAAACGTGTCTCAGAAATCGAGCTCTTCACATCTATGTCGGTTTTGCTCTATCTAGTCAGGAAATATGAAATAGGTTTTCTCTGTTAAACCAATTTCGACCACCCTGTACATATTTAACCTTTATACAAAAGTGCTTTGTTTGTCCGTTAGAGGGCATCAATGAAAAATAAACCTAAACGTTAATTTCAAATTTATTAATTTTTTAAAGCCTTTTATGAAGCTTATTGTCAAATATAATTTGTGATATTAACGTAAAATTCCATATTTTCACCAACTAGATTGTTAGGGCATAATAGATTTTATGTACCCCCATTGCTTGATGTGACAAAATGCATTTTTTAGAAGTCAGCTTCGGAAAAATATTTTTTTTTGAAAATGAAAAAAAAATTCATTTTTATAATAAATATTGATTATATTATTTACAGAGTGATCATACTGAAGTAAAGCTGCAACAGACAGGCGTACCTAAAGGTGAAGCCGACGTTACTAGGGTAAATTGGGACAGGTACTACTGGGACGCGATTAAACAAGCTTTTGGATTTGGTGCCTTTCTCGGAGCTATTTGAATAGTTTAGCTAATTTAATAATATTTTAAGTATGAATAAAATGTTCTACTCTGGTACGATGTCTACAATTTTCAGATTAATTCTATAATCTGTAAACTAAAGGCCTTCCTACACTTCGGTTATTTTGCTCTGTTCTAACCGCGCGGGTAGAAAGTACGGGCAAAGCAACCTCTACACATTGTCGCATTTTGAACAGTAGACATAGACAAGAACGATGGACTCGAGAAAGAACTTGCTAGCAATGGCGGTACTAGTTATAAAAAAGAACCCTAACCCCCTTAATATATAAACCCTTACTAAATTTTAATTTTGACATTGATCGCTGTCCGTCAATAAAATTGTAACCCCAAATCAAATGACAGTGACAATTACTAAAAGGAATATACAGTAATTTATGAAATGACGTAATGACGTCACTAATCTTTTTTTATCTCGTTAGCAAGTGATTGCGAGAGTTCGACAATGTATGACGTGACGTTTAACAATGGCAATATTCTATACAACTCAATAAATTCAATGGTAAATTATTCAGTGTTAGTGGTAATTTACGTCGAACGCGTGTGCGATATACAGGGTGAGTCTTAAATAAGTGCAAATATTTTCAGGGCTGGTAGATCTCGGTAAAAGAAACATATTTCCTTTTTACCGTTTTCAAGTTTTTTACCGTTTTACCTAAAATCAAAGTCCAAAATAACAGAGTTATTTTACTTTGAAATTTTAAAAAATAATTTTTTGCTTAAATTTTGAGAACCACTGGATTTTTTCTGGGTTTTCTTTCCTGTAAATTTAATGTTCTAGCTACATATGTTGCCATAAAATCAAGATATATGGTATTTTTTAACTAAAAATAAAAAAAAATCGAAAAATACCAAATTTAAAAAAAAAATTGGTAAAAAATCTCATAGACGTGTTTCTAAGGGTCGACATATACCACTCCTAAAAATATTTACACTTTTGAAAAAAAAAATAAAACTCACCCTGTATAAATATCTAAGAAGTGCTGGCGCCACTGGCTGGAATAAAACTGCGCGAGATTTATGACCATATACGATCGGGTAGGAATAAACGGGTCTAACCGTACAGTCAATATCTGGTGAAGACAGATATTGAACAAACAGGCAAAACTGGACTGAACACACTCATACACTGACATATAACGGTTAAAACCGGGTAAAATAATTGAAGTGTATGGGGGCTTAAACTAAGATGCCTTTTTATTTGCTTTCCATAAGAAAATAAATTATTTTAGTCATATTTGTCATCATCAAATGTAAACAGAAGTTTTTATATCAATGATTAGAACTGTTTTTATTCGCTGCTTTTTCTATTTGATAGAGCTAAATCTTCTAGTCTGAAACCCAGTATCAAAAGTCTTTTTAGGTATATAATAATATACTGATTCATTCTCATAATATATCAAATGGTTTTTGTGAATAATTCTTCGTCAGTATATCTGTGCACATGGTTCTAATAAATTGTCTTAGGTAAAGAAGTTTTTTTTTTTTTTTCTAATAACTCCGCAATTGAGAAAGTGTTCTCACCTTGTATGCAGGGCGATCTGGAGTCCTCAAAAAATTCAACAGGGTTTTCCTGAATAAGTGTCCAATATTTCAAAGGCTGATTTTTCTATCTCCAACAAAAATTAAGAATTTGTTGAAGAAATATTTGTTTGGATGAATTTTTCTCTTGGCATATTGAAAAATAGTACCGCATAATCGAAAAAAAAACGGCGTCAAAGGCGGCTGGGGAATGACAATCGATGATAATTTTGACGAGATCAATCTCCTAGACGTCATATAATAAAAATTGTCTCAGAATTTGTCAAAAATTAACACTGATTATAGAAAGATTAAAAAATGATGTCCTGAACGTTTCAGGACACAAATTTATTTCCGAAAAATTATTTTTTCTCGAATTTTAACCTACATAAAATCATTTTTACTCAGTATAAAAATAAATTACAACCTTCTTAAGGCCAACTGGTAGTAAACGCCCTTAAAAAGTAAAGAGTACGGGCCAAATAAATGACGTCTAGGGCTTGACCTCGCCAAAATTATCATGGCTTCTCATTCCCCAGCCGTCTTTGACGCCGTTTTTTTTTCGACAGTATGGTATAACACCGATTTTCGATATAAAAGTAATTTCATATGGAAGTTAATTAAATATCTATCTAAAACGAGCACATTTTTTGTATTTCACTCACATCAATCTTACAATTCCTTTAATACTATATCTAGAGAATATATACTTGTTGACATACAATGTTATTATTTAATAAATTTGCTTATTTATACGTATACAATACACACAGAACCACATATTTTAAATTAAATGAGCCATTATGTTAATTGACACTGGGCTTTTAAAAAAAACGACACACAAAATACATTATACAGGGTGTTTCAAAAGCATCTCTCGTGCGGAGATTCCTCACGTAAAAATAAGATTTATTTTTTGATTCGGCCTAGGTTTCGTGGCTACAAGTCATTCATTAAGGCTTACATATTTTAATGCTAAAAAAGTCGACAGATTCACCACGGACGTGCATAGGGGTGATCACTAGAATATTTTTCTAAAGAAAGTCTGTGCGCCACTGACTGTTCTCACACTTTGTCAGCACAGCGGCCACAGTGTTAAGTACCTGTTGATTCTTCATTAAAAATATATGAAAAAAGTTCCTATAAACATGGCTGTCACAACTTTTAAAAAAGAGGTCTTTTGTAATTATATTATACAATTTTATTTTTTGAATTTGCTGTAGGTAGCACTGAACATCAGTGTAAATTTTAATAAAATTTAATAATAAATTAGATAAAATAAATAATTATTAATTTTATTACTTGTGATTAATAAAATTGCGTTTATCTATCTCATCAAGGAGATGGAAATCGATAAATTATCAAGATCAAGAAGACTTTTAACGATGTATTCAACGACCTATATAAGACCTAAATATAAGAGAAAAAGTCAGTGGCGTACATGTCTTTTTTAGAAAATTATTCCAGTGATAACCCATATGCACGTCCCTTGTCTGTCCACACTTTTTTAGCATTAAAATATGTAACACTTATAGCAAATTTTACCCTCAAAATTCCATTCGAATCGTTAAAAGCACTTGGAAGAAAATTCTAATGAATTGCAAAAAAATGAAGAACTTTAATAACTGTACCTACGAAATAAAGCAGATGTTGACATAAGAAATAAATCTTATTTTTACGCGAGGGAAAATTGGTACATATTTTTTGAAACACCCTGTATAAAGCTACAAAAAACTATTTTTTGAACCAGCAAAAATTAATCTTACTTAGTGGTCTTTCTTCTTGGGCTTCTTAGGATTGCGCGACCGAGACTTGGCCTTGCACAAGGGACAAATAGGCGCGTTCCTGTGAATCTGCTGATGACAGCTGAGACAGGACTTCATTGGCGGCGGTTGCTGTCGGAAAGTGGGAGTCGGGGGACCCGGGTGGCTACCCGGACCCAAACCACCCGGTCTCCCCGGTTCTGGTTTGCTAGAAACCAACCGCAGAGGATTGGGGGGCGGTAAAAATGTTGGTGGTAAGGGTGGAGCCAACGAGCTCAGAGAAGTTTCCGTTGAGGTTATAGGCCTGGTCCAATCAGCCGTCTTGCTGTAGCTAGCTGACTGGTTCTTGGCGTTATTGTAAAGCTGAGAGAATTTCCTAGAAGTAATAGTTATTTATGTATCAAGGAGTGCCAAGGGGCAATAATTGCCCGAGGTTATTAGCACCCTTATAACTATCGTAGTACATGGATAATTTTATTTCTTACTGAATATAGTTAGAGTATACCTATCTGGTCATCGAAACTGTGCGGTCTGGTTTGGTTATATATATATAATATATATATATATATATATATATATATATATATATATATATATATATATATATATATATATATATATATATATATATATATATATATATATATATATATATATATATATATATATATATATATAATATATATATATAGGTTAGGTTAGTTATTTTAACTTGTAAGACAGTGATGTAGACAGCTTAATGGAAAATCAAATGTATTAAAAAGAGATAAAAATTGGGTCGATACATTTCTTCTATGCGGTATTGCTGGATTTTGCATCAAAATTTCAAACCGCACAAGTAGGCGTTTACGAAAAATCTTGCATCTAGAGTTGGATCTTTATTTTTCACTATTAGTTACTCATTTCACTACAGCTGTAATAGATTATAAATATTTAGCTTAGATATATTTTCTTCATTTTGGTAGTATACATGAAAGTTTTTAAAATAGCTTATATTTTTCTACACACATTTTCTAACAAACGCAAAAAACCGGCAACACTGTATGCCGTTTTTTATATTGTCTCTGTCTGTCAACCTGTCATTTATATTATTCTCTGTCACACGAACTAAAATCCAGACCACATAGTTTTGATGACCAGCAAAACGACTTTGTCAATCGAATTCAGATTTTTGTCAAAAAAAAAACGTCTTTCACGCGAATTCGACACAAGCTGGAGTACATTAACCCTCGAGCAGGCGCGTCCGGAACTTTGTACCGCAATTTTAGTAATTTCTTTAAAACAAAATATCCATTGGACGTAGGTCGGTGGTGCCATTAAATCTGGGGTCTGGTCCACTTTAGGTACGTCAAAATTTTAAAATTTTCTATACAGAATTGAGAAGAGGAACACTTATAATGACATTTTCTAACAAAAAAGTGCGGATCGTCCATAAATAACACCAAAAACAAACCCCCCAAAAAGAATGTTGTAACCAATGCAATCAAAACTCAGTTACGGCGGACGTTTTTACCATTGTGACCCTCTTCTCAACCTTTAACACAGATCAAAATATAATATCTATTCTTATCAGCTTAATATCGCTACCGCTATTTTTCAAAATTAATAGGAAAGTATAACTAAAACAAAATTCCGATTTTCAATATTTCATTGTTACCGCCAGCGATATACGCGGACGCGAGCAAAAGACAAATAAACTTAAGTCTGCGTCACAAGAATAGATATCAACCAGAAGCCTAACTTAGAGTTTGCGCGGGAAACATCGCCTAACCTAAAAATAGCGGTAGAACCTGTCAACGCACTGGCGTTCGCAGTTCACTTATGTTTTGCGTTTTGCTGAGAGCAGTAGCTGTTCGTCATTAGGGTTCCCAACTTGAGCACTGGCGATTCCGGGACAATTATTTTTAAGCTTTTAAATAATTGAAACAAAACATTAAATATTAGAAATTAAAATATATTATGTGTGTAGTACACACTTTTTTAATTTTTAAACATAAAACATAACATTAGGTCCCGGCCAAGGCAAAACTTTCGCCGGGACAAACCTTCTGATTCCTGGTTAATCCCGGCTAAACCGGGACGGTTGGGAACCCTATTCGTCATTCGTAAATATTGAATATTGTAGTTTGTGTTGTTTTATAACTGAACGGAGCGAATAGTCTGGAATAGTTATTAAATATTTGGGTTACCAATATTTGTTGTGCTAGGTACATTATTCATAATAACTTCAAAGAGTACTGGTTCAGTTTGTGCCTCAAGAATGTGCAAAAGCCGGAGTTATGTTTCGCCAGGACGCAAAATGTTTTACGATACGTTTGTGGATATTTAATAAAAAAATGTTTGAGTATACATTCATGTGATATGTATATATGTACCAAATATGCAAAGGCACGCAGTGAGTTAGATGATACATCGTTGTTTTGCCATTTACGTGCCTATGAAAATAATAAAGAGTGAAAATAATAATTTAGATATTTTTGGCAATCTTCAGATGTCACATGACAATTTTGTATCTTTTGTTTCTTCATTAAAACTTGTTTTTAGTAAATATTATGAAGAATATGGGACAAGACATTTTATTAAAGAAATATATATAATATGCAAACAAATTAATTTCAAACATCCGTGTACTAGTTTTCCCCTAAAATATGTAACTAAATTATATCTGCTTATGAAATTGTATTATACATTAAAAAAGATAAACCTTAATTTTAGAACAGCCAATAAAAACAAACTAATTATATGGAGGCATGAATAAATACCTAAGTATTCTGATGTTAGCTTGTTTATTTATTTCGTTTGAAACTTAAATGAACACCTACCCTATCTTTACAGGATGTTTTAAAACGGGCCAATTGAAGGTAAGTATCTCAAGCGTCCTTATAAAGAACCCAAAGTTTTAAATTTCAACCAAATCTCTTCTTATATTAAAAAATCCGCCATATTGGATCCGCTAATTTGATTTTTTTTCTTCAAAAATATTATAAAAGTGTCACCGGAACTCAATACGTGTGCAACATTTCGGAAAAATTGGGATAATAGAAGTGATCAATAAAGCTGCTGCCAGATTTGCAACAAACAAAGGTATGGTAAAGTTAAATAAAATCGTTTAAAAATATAAACTATTTTTATACCGCGATATCTCTAATGGTTTACTAATGCAGTGTTTTTTATCGCTGGCAATAAGTTTTACATTAAAAATATTACTCCATAAAATATGTTGGGACATTTGCACTAAACCAATATTACAGCATCTTAAACAAATTAGCCTTTACTTTTAACTTTAACAAACTCACTTATTAAAGTTTTAAGCAGTAGTTTTATTAACTGTCGAATGATATTAATTAATTCTCTACTTTTCAATTTACAACAAAAAAATAAATACAACTCTGTATACATTCAACGGAAATTTATTAAATACGTCTCTGTGTTCTACCGCTATTAAATGGCGGCCTAATTCGTGAAACGTCACGGATTTCAGCTCCAGTTAGGTTTCTGGTTGATATCTATTCTGTGTCTGCGTCTTCCTTGTCACTCTTATTAAACTTAATAAGGAAAGCTTATATTCTAACCTCAAAAAATAAATAATTTTATTGCAGAAATCTCAAACATTTAGCCGAGTATCCGTACGATCCGTACTTAAAACGTTAAAACATTAATTGTAGAATATATTAATATCAAATTTACATCAATAACTTCAAGATTGACGACGTATCTAAAGTGGACCATCACCTAGATATGCTTATTTAGGGATATTTGGCACCCTGGGTCTACATATAACTTGTGTCTAGCCCTAGCAGGCAACTGTTAAGTCCGACCAATCACGTTAGAGTTTTTTACAAACACAAATGAATTAACACACTCCAAATAACCACACTAACCAACCTGATTGGTCAAACTTAATAGTTGACTGCTAGGACTAGACACTTCTCTACGTATACAGTGATTTTGGTTCAGTAGCAATTCTGTCGTAAACCTGGCAACTACAGAAGCCGCGGTACTCCGCGCCACATAAGTAAAATAGGTTATCATATTATTTAATTATTTTGTTTTATTTGGTGTAATTTTTAAATTGTTAATTAATTTTTTCGATTGATTTTATAATAATCTGTTAAATCTATGTTATTAGTCCTTGTATTCTTTAGTCATTGGGTAGAGGGAATTATGGCACCTTAATTCCCGTTAATAATATCTCAAGAGTTATGAACTCTTAATAACCAAGACGATATAAGCTTATATTAATTCAGTAAGTAATAAAGGGATTTTACCTCTCTGTAAAATACAGGGTGGCGCCTCTCATACGAATCCAAGAAGACAATTTGTATTCAAATGATTTTTTAGCATATGTTGGTTAATTTAGAGCATTTCTTAAAAATATACGAGTTCACAACACAACTTTGATATGTAACAATTTTTTGAGACACCCTGTAGAACTTTATATATTTTTATAAAATGCTTTCACTTAACCTACATATACTCCCAAAATTTAATTTCAATACCAACTATCAGTCTCCCTCGAGCCTCTGCATCGTATGAGGGGCGCCACCCTGTATATTTGGCAAGCAAAAATAATTACTCGGGTGTAACACTCGAGCCCTCTTCTTCATGAAGCTCTGGAAGCCTTTCTAGACCCAAACAATCTCTTCTAAGTCTATCTATTTCCGTTTTTAGCGGTAAATATTCCTCATGTAGTCTTAAAGCAGAACCCATAGATCTGTGTCTATTCTCTTCCGCTTGTTTGATCACTCCCTCCATCTTTTAAGACATTAAATTAGTATTACTAAGGATACAAGCGAAAAACATATTTACCGCATTTATATCAGCATGAATTTGTCTCAATTCCTCAACATGGGACATCTTCTCTTGGAGTAAAAGGTCCATTTCTTGTTTGAATTCAGATAATGACTTTTCCTCCTGCTCCTGAGATTCGATTTCGCATATTAGTCGTGCTTTGAGTTTCTCAAGTTGTATTGTTTTTGCCCTAAAATAATATGTATTATATAAACCTAAGCAGGGGCAAATCCTAATTACCTTATTTCTTTAACTGCTTCCAATTTTGCAAACACAGTTCTCTCGTCTGTTGCTGTCATGTTAAATGATTTTCCTCTCAAATAAGCAGACAACAAAATAGTATTTGCAATACAAGATCCAGATGCACTTAAGTTCTTAAATCTCAGTTAACAACTTGCAGCTTTCAGAAGCGCAAATATAATTGCAGTAGCAATAAGTTTAGATAAAACGAATTATAGAACAAAAATCAGATCTAGTTATAGGCAATTTTGGCTACCAGCTAGCTATTTTTAATTTTTGTTTTAAAAAGCCGTGTTTTTGTTTGACAAAGGTGTCAAACTTCTCTTAATAATTCTCAAGATGGCAGATGGCAGCTAATTATTCAAATAGAAAGTATAACTGGTTGCCTAAAAATAAGACTACTTTTAGTAGTTATTACTGTGTTATTACATTACTTAAATAATTTTAAATTATAAAACTATTAGTAGAATATATCTCTTATACCTCTTGCTGTTTTTTTTAATCCTTACCTTAATTTGAAAATTTAAATCATTAAGTCAAGGTCAAATAATAGAGAAATATTTACTACGCTACGACAAATAGACCCACATTCAAACAAAAATAGCTTTTTTAGGAAGCTTTTAATGTACATTAAAAGATAACAAAAACTATATGATATATTTCAAATTTAGGTGTTATATCTAAAATTGAATAATTTGGAGTATATTTGAATATATGCTCTGATATGATTTGAATATTTTTTTTTTGGTCTTGACGTAATGACGCATGCATTTGACAACCAGCTGACGTCTTTTGCTTCCATTTTCCATTGAAATTTCGCAGTTTCTGGAGTTTATGTTGTTCATTCAAACAGCAGACGTTTTATTCTAGAACACAAGTTGAATAAATAAATTTGAATAAAATGAATTTCGTAGGAATAGTCTGCATTTTCCTCGTAGGATCGTGCTGGGCTGGTAAGGAATATTAGTCTTATTTTTTCTATATTATGTATATTTTTTTTTTGATGTTTAATTATTATGTTTAAATGATCGTTAAAGAAATCGTTAGTTATTTGATGGTTATTTGTGTTAAATTTTGTTTGATATACTTATTTATATAATCTATGTAATATAAGCTGGTTTTATATGATAAACTAGTACAAAGTTTAACTTGATGTTCTAGTAGAGGATGGAACATCAATAGACGGACAAAATGTCACCGATATATCTCCTACGGAAATCAGTCCAGGTAAATATGAAATAGTACAAGATTTTTCAGAAATTAACCAGAAATATATTTGCAGTGACCAATCCAACAGTAAAACCGAGTACGAGTAAACCTACTAAAGCTCCCGTCACTACCCCATCAAGCACCACACTCAAACCTAACACTCCCTCAACGCAATCTACTACAACAACTGAGGCTTCGACAACACCCACCACCACCACCACAACAACAGCCAACAGTGCAACTACGGCTTCGACTAAGGCACCCACAAGCACAAGTATTGCCCCCAATGTAACTAAATCGCCTGATCCGACACCAGTTCCTTCAAGAGACAGGGGATTTAGTGGACCTAGTTTTGTGGGAGGTAAGATCAAATTATTTGTTATACAGGGTGGTCCAATTATAATTGGTAAACTTCGGCAATATATTCTGCAGATAAAATAAGTAAAAAAGTTATAATTTGATTCTATTATAGCTTCAACATCTTTGATGATGTGTCAAGCTTTTTTGATTTCTCTCTAGATTGTTTTTAATTATTGCAGGTATAGTATTGACCCTCGGCTTGATGGCTATCGGTTTTATTGGCTTCAAACTGAATCGTCGTCGCCAGGAAGGACAGAACTATCACACTCTATAGATACGTTATTAGGGGGTAAGAAAAAAGGGTAAACAACGTTATGGTGATTTTTTCGTGTATATCTACTTATACCGTGTGTTGCATCGCCGACTTAAGGATAGGAAATTCCATGTAAATGTTATAAATGATCAATAAAAGTTCTCCAACGTTTTCTGTAAAATAAAATGAGTATTTTTATTTATTGTTTTTATAACTTAAATGGGATTTCCTATTTTAGTTCGGCGATGTTATTAAATTGGCTTAATTTTATTTATTTATTGTTATGTGCAATGTTATTGCTCTAGATGCAAACATGTTTTTAGGGTCATCGGTTCACCGAGTTTATCAGAAGATAAAACTAAGAAAGGAAATCGCATTCATTGTTGTATTAAGTAATTTTCTCGTTACTACATTAACTGAAATTGTTATAGATCAATATGTACAGGGTGTCCCATTTTCGTATGTTTTCAGGATTACTGGTTTATGAGTAGAGATACAAAGATATGGTTTTTACGTTACTGTGGTACTGTTTTATGAAATTTAAGATGCTACATATAGCAGTTCCTGAAATATAGGGTGAATTTGGAATTGTTGCACTTTTCAACTACCCTCTTTTCTCTGTTATCTTGTAACGTATCAGGAACTTAGAGGGCTAAGACAAATCTGTGTGTAGGATATTTTTTAGTTTCATAAAAAAGTAGCATAGTGATGTGAAAACCGCATTTTTGTATCTCTACTCAAAAACAAGAAACTCCATAAAACACAGGACAATGGGACACCCTGTGTGTTATATGTAACTAAAAAATCATCGGTTAATCGGAAAACAACTTAATTCAACTATGTAATGATATCAATTTAATTTTGAATAAATTATAATGTTTTATATTTTGTAACATGTATAGGTTTACATAATCAAAAAGTTTTATAACAATTGATATTAAATGATTATTTTATTAGTCCACATTCTGAAGGGTTATTAAGCTTTTTGATTATACAGTAATAATGTAAAGTATCAGTTTTTTAAATATTAGATTTGATATTATATTTTGAAGGGGCCATAGAATTCAAATTATTACAAAAATATAGGCATATGATTAACATGTAGCTTTTTAAGAAAACAACTGTACTGTCACTTTCACAATTACTGGATTTAAAAGACATTTTGATATAATCACTTTGCAATCACATGGAGTTATCACAAATAGTTTTGCATTTATATAGCAGTAATATATTATATATTTTATTTAGGCTACTTCCTTATGTAATATTGCTTATGTGAACACTTTTATTATCCAATTTAGCAATTAGCTTATGTGTAAGTAATTCAGTTTGTTTATAATGATAATAATTAAAAAATTTGACTTACCCGTTATGTATATTAAGATTTTTCCCTGTAATGAGGAGAAAATCATTTTCAAATTGTTCTGTCCTTTTGAAGTGCTCTTAAGTAGGGGTTAGATTAATGAAAATAAATATTATATAATCAAAAACTGCTTGTTAAGGGACTTGTTTATGTTCGGTACACAACTGGAATATTTTTCTGGAATATTTTATATGTTTAAGTTAGTTCATTCTGAAGATCTGATTTTGTAGAACAAAATACTTAATTTCTTATTTATTGCTGATATTAAATGGTAGGTAGAAATAATTATTTTAATGTATATTTTTTTATTGTTGTGTTAAGTATTTGAATATATTTCTTATTAAATACATTCTTGTTTTTTTTTATTTATACCAATAAGTCATTCTCCGCCAGTGCTGCCACCATCGGAGAGTAGTTAGCATAGTTTTACGCACCGATTTTGCTGTAGCGAATAAATGCGGGGTTATTTCCGTTATAACGATTTTTTTAAAGGTACATAATTATAATTTTAGATGTTCATAAAAAATGTAAGCATTAGCAGATTAAAACCAAAGTATACATACCATTAATATTACTATTATATTTTATCCTCTCATAGTATATGTCTATTTAATTTTTTGGTTATGTAACGAGCACTCACTTGTTTCTTTGAGCTGCTTGAATCCATTTTTGCTTTTGATGAAATCGGAGTGGGAATTTGTAAAGCTATAAATCTAAAATACTTAAATATTATGACAAAGCCACGATTTTAATATTATTTCAATGCGATCAACATCGGAAATGCGTGAAATACAGAGCCGAAAACTTCTGATTTTGCCGTATCGAGCGCTGCTTTCAGAATTTTTAAAATCAACTGAAATGCAGCAAGCCTATGTATAATCTGGCTCTGCTAGGGTACACAAATTATATCCTAAGCGCTTGTCACGATACAAGTGTACTTGTATCAAGATAACCAAATACGAGGGGAGTCAAAGAATGCAACATTTGAAATTCGTCATGTATTTCAGAAACCAAGGAGGCTATGACAAATCTGTGTGTAGCATCTTTAGTTTCATAAAAAAGTTGCACTGTGATGTGAAATCTGCATCTTTGTATCGAGAAACCCTGTAAAATACACGAAAATGGGACACCCTGTACGGTCAATACCTTAAGGTGCGTCCACAGACCTGACGAGACGAGAGCGAGACGAGCGCGAGACATTCCAAATTCGCTAAGGCAGTGTGGACGGGTACGGTGTACCCACGGAGCCTCGTTGCTATCCGTCCTCTGTCACAGCTCGCGCCACAGTCTGGACTTTGGTCTGGAGCCTTTTAATAACCTTGGGTCTGGAGGTGTTTTTGGTAGGCTCGCTAGACTGCGAGATATTAGCTCTAATTTATGAATTTCGACTATTTAAAATTAAATAATCTCAAATTTTTTAAATGGTACACCGTATGTAATCATTTTGCTGATAGAATTTACAAATTTTGCGTCACTGATAATTTTTACCGTACCGAAACCTTTCATTTCAACATTTCTTTAAAGAAATTGAATTATTACAAAATCTATTAATTTTGGATAATATGATATATGCAAAAAAAAGTTACCGAATTGTACGTAGAATCTAATAAAAAAATAAAAAAGTAGCCTCTGTATACTCTACAGTAATTTTAAAATGTGTTTCTATATAACTTTTCTATTTAACATTTTGTTCTAAAAAAAGTATTTTGTAAAAGCACAGTTGTAAAAGACGTCGTGTCTCGAAACAAATGAAGGGTTAAAGGGGAAAACAACCAAAAGGGAAAAAACCGAAGATGAATAAAATACGACGAACCAAATACCATGTAGATATACAAACCTTTATTACAATACTCGCTATCCTTTATTATTTGACCATCGTTTGTTATATTCAATTACAATTTAATATGTGTTTGGGTTCCTATCACTATGATCCAATTCGCTTGTCTCGTGGCAGGCTTGCCTCAAAAAATGGATTGAAGATATATGTCTCACTCTCGTCTTGCTCTTGCCTCGCTCTCAGTGGCGGATACAGGAATTTATTTTAGTGGGGGCCAAAATAAAAAGTAATGTAGAATATGCTTTTTAGGGCGCCATTTTTAACAAAAAAGCCTAATATTTAACACAATTTACAGATTTTAGGGTGGCCCGGGCCCCATGGGTCCCCCCTCTGTATCCACCACTGCTCGCTCTTACCTCGTTCTCGTCTCGCTCTTGTCTCGTCAGGTCTTGCCGCACCTTTACGATAAGAATAATATGTACTGAACAAAGAAAGAAGAGCAAGTATTTTCCCATGCGGTATGAAATAAAGCGTCGGATTAAGTGGTTATGTAATAAACACGTATTTTTCTCTCTCTCCTATACTTACAAGATCGCCATAGCGATTTACTCCTAAACATGTGAATATCGACGCAAGACAGTCTCTTGCCGATATGGGATGACTGCGGTTCGGAATCTGCATAGCAAAATAGGTCGTCAGACAGTAAAAAAGTCCATAATTAAAAAAAAATGTTGAAGTGAGTAGGAAGCAGATGAGCAAGAAATCGCAAATTGCGATTCAGTCGCAGCGATTTTAAAATCGTAATCGCAACTTGCGATTGGCTCTGCGATAGCGATTTATTCTATTTGCGAGTTTCAATTTAGGAAACCAGTATTACTATAATATAGCTGTGATTTGCGACTTTGTTGCGATTTTGCTGCGATTGTGATTTTATAATATACCGGGGTTTCTCAAGAGTGGTTCACCCCTATAACGAGGCTATAACTTTTATTTTTTCTGATAAAAAAAACGAGATTTGGTATGTTAGTAGATGACATAGATAAATGAAACAAGTTTAGATTGGAAAGTGCCCATAAGGACAATGTAAACACTATTTGGCGCTATTCTTGCAACGGTCGCGACCCAAAACTTTTGAAAATTTCGGAGCGGTTCGGCTTTTTCCGGAATTATATCACCAAATATTGTTTATTTAAATGTATTATTATTTTCTTTTAATTTTATAAATAAAATACAGTGTGTTGCATACAAGAAACTTTATTTTATATAAGGACATGTATGAAGTGCCTATAAAACATTGGAAACAGACGTTATGCCACGATCCACGATGGTTTTTGCAGTTCACAGCACAGCTTTTTAAGTTTTTAATGCCACTTTTTCACAATTATCACCGGTTGGAGTAAATAAAACTTGAATTAAACTCAAAGATAGCAATAATTACTTTGAAAATCGACGCTATAAACACTTTTCGGAATTTCTTTAACGAGAGCGGTTTAGATTTTGAAAGACTTTATGCATTTATGATTTTTGAAGATTCTGACTTTGACAAGAGAAAATTATTTCTGTTTTTGTTTGCCGTTGTTCTTAGCGACCGCTATAGCAGCGCCAGATCGCGTATAACGGTCGCGACCAAAAATAATTTCGCGACCCAAAATTTTTACGGGCTTTCCAATCTATGGTATATGACATAAATTAGGATTGATTGACGTATTCAATTTATTGTTTTTAGTAACTTTCAGTTTCACCGGAAATGATGAACTTTTGATTTTTTAAATGACAACTTTTGATTTTTAAATGACACCCTCGGTCGGTGACATTTTCGCTTAAACAATCGTATTTTAAATTTCAGTCTAGAATGTGTCATGGCTGTGTTAAAAACACTAATTTTAATCAAGATGCCTTGGAAAAATAGATTTGATCGTCTATTGTTTATCGCATCTTGGCCAGTTTAAAGATGCCCAAATAGTATTTTTAATCATGTCTCAATTGTTTTAAATAGAACGAGGGTGGCTCATTGGCCTATTTAGAAAAAAAACATTTTTTTACGAATAATTTGGTTTGGTAAATATTAAAATCGTAGCGACTATATTCTGCGTTTGCATAAAATCGCAATCGCAGTTTCAATTGCTATTGGAGAATCGCAGTTTTGCTCATCTCTAGAAGTGAGAACCTATGTAGGTAATTAAGAATGTGCGACATTTGAATTCTTCTTTTCCTGATTCCCCATAGAATACTCCCTCAGGTCAACAGGTGTGCGGCGTTTTATCTTTCAGTGGAAGGGGGGTTACGGGGGCGCCACCACGACGTCCAACAGGTGTCAGGCCGACGCGCAAAGGGCCCCAAAGCGCGTCCGTCGCCGTCAGTGACATCGCGGACTCGCACGAAGAAGCAGCCCGCCAAAAGGGGGCTACGCGATATAGGTCTAGCGATACGCAAAACGAAATTTTTATCGTGAAGCTGACGACAGATTTTTTTTTCTATTGAGAAAAAAAACTAACGCCATAAAAAGGTAAATTTTTGTTTAATTTTCTTTGAAATATAAAAACCAAATTTAGTTTAAGAGTCCATTTCACTAGTCCGAAAAAGTAGCAAAATAAGCGTACGGCATTTAACGTTTTATGTAAAACTGGCTAGGTATTATTACACAAATGAAGAAGGAAATTAAAGATAAAGGATTATACTATATCCGTATTGTA